AAACACTATGGTTTTGAATCGATTTTTAATTTTTTTTAATTTTTTTCTCACCCCTAAGTACCTTACAAAGTAGACTAACCTCTACCTCTCTTTCTCTTCATGGATCAAGATCGAGCTGATAGCCTGGTTTATGGTAGCTAGATATAGGTACAAGGTCTAATCGGACCTTGGCTTGAAAATAATGGGTGGAGAGGATAGGAATTTTTAAGTTTATCAAATACTTTTTGACATTGAGGGGTCCATCTGAAATTGGAGATGTTTATGAAAATTTTAAAAAACGATAGGCATCGCTTTGTCGACCTAGATATAAACCTGCTTAAAGTGGCTATTCTTCCAGTTAGCCTCCGCACTTTTTTCATTGAGGTTAATACTTTCATGTCCAAGATTGCCTTAACCTTCTATGGGTTTGCTTCTATCCCTCTCTTGTTAATCATATAACTAAGAAACTTACTTGACGTGACTCCAAAGGTGCACTTGTTTAAGTTAAACCTCATGTTGTATTTTCTTAAGGTATCAAAGGATTCCTCGAGGTCTTTTAAGTGCTTGGCTAGGCTTTTCCTCTTAACTATCATGTCATTCACATATACCTCATATTATAGTCGATATGATTTTTGAAGACCTTGTTGACCAGTCTTTGATAGGTCATCCTTAGGTTTTTTAAGCTAAAGGGCATCACCTTGTAGTAGTAAAAACCCTTTTCAGTGATGAAAGTCATTTTTTTCTCATTTTCCTTCAACATTTTAATTTAGTTATAACTAGAGTAGGCATCCATAAAACTGAATAGACAGTGCTCGATATTGTCGCCCACCAATTGATCTATATTAGGGAAAGAAAAACTGTCTTTTGTATATTCTTTATTAAGGTCGATAAAGTCAACACACATTCTCTATTTTACATTGAGTTTCTTGACCATGACGACATTGGCTATCCACTTGGAGTAGTAAACCTCTTTGATGAAACCTACTTGTAGTAGTTTGGTGACCTCTTCAAGTATATCAGACGATATCTGAGTGAATAGGTCGACATTCTTTCTTAAAAGTTAGATTAACTACTCTTTATGTTCGAGTTTAATTTCAATCTACATATATTTTTCAAGGGTGTTTTCCTAGAACGGGATGGATATAAGGTCTTTTGCTAACTCAAGTCAATTTTCATCTGCCTTAGATCTTTGATTAATTATTTCTTTCTATTTAGTTAGGTCAGGATTGGTTCCTTTAAAGATAGATCCTGATGTAATAGTTAGTATATTATTAATAAAATGAACAGAATGTAAAACTTAACAAAATGTGCGTATATTTCATTTCAATTTGTCAAATTTTCTTTTTGGCCAGCGTGTTAGCTCGACCTCATTAACACATGAATAGTTATGTTAGCTTAAGAGCTTAGTCACTTTCAAGATTTATTCAAAAATTATAAAAAAAATTATTGTATATCTTCTGTTGGAGTGGAGTTTAAAAGTTCAGAGTGGCTTGAGGGCGCTTCCATCATGTTGATTCTCTTTGGTAATGCGTGTTCACTATTGTTTTTTTGCTTTTTTTTTGTTTCTATTGCTTGCTTCTCTTCTTTAGCCTTCTCGACCTTATCTGAACTATTAGTCTATTTTTCAGTCTTTCATTTCATTGTTATAACATAGTATTATCATGTCATAGATTGGTTTCCCATCACCTCTTCAACCCCGTGAGGCATTGGAAATTTTACTTTTAAATGAAGAGCTAAGCTTGTGAGTTGCATAATAGATTGGCTAAGTCAGCCCAATATCATATTATAGGCAGATGGGATATCTACAACCATAAATTCAATGACCGATGTAACTGTCCTTAGTTCTGTCTCTAAGAATATTGGTAATTTAATAGTCCATTTACTGGTACTTGATCATTCTTAAATTCGATTAGGGTTGTGTGATCGACTATAACTAATCTTCCTTAATGCCTATCTTTTTCATAATGGCGTGGTACATAACGTCGATCAAGCTTTTGTTATCGAACAAGATCTTTTTGACCATGTAACTGTACATCATTACTATGATTATTATAGCATCGTCATGGGGGTATTGAATTCTTTCCAAGTTTTTCAAACTAAATAAGATCGATTCGTCTTTCTAGTCTTTCTTTTTCTTTGTTGAAGAGCCAATAGCCATGCCATGCCTTGGCCAAACTTCTTTTTGGCCGAGGTAGAGCTTCCTCTAATAACCGCTTTGATTACCTTGGCAATTGGTCTATTATCCGTAGTTCGACTTTCCTTCTATCTTTGCTTATTTTCTTCTAAATTACCATTCTAGTATTTTACGAGTTCTTTTCAATCTCTTTTATAATCTGGCCTATTCAACCCTTACCTTCATCAATCCATAAACCTCCCAAGCTGACCTTTTCTAATTAGGGCTTTGATTTCATTTTTTAGGTTGACACAGTCTTAAATGTTGTGACCTATATCTCTATAGAAGGTATATCTTTTGGTGGGATTCCTCATCATGTTTTGTCTTAATGGCTTCGGCTATCTAAGCTTCGATTTTCTTTCAATTTGTATCAGAATCTTTTCTTTAGAGGTATTTAGTGCTATATAGTTTTTTTCTCTAATGAGGCTCTTGGCCTTATGTCGTCTCTTTTTTTAGGGAGTATCGTAAAAATTCTTTTTCTTTTTATGATTGAAAAAGAGGGATGAGCTTCTCTTACCATAACTATTTCTCATTTATGTATTTCTTAGCTATAAGTAAGACATTGACCAAAGTCTTGGATGGCTCTAAAGACAAGGTCAGCTTGAGATGGTACTCTTTATCATTAAGTCCACTTGTTAGGGTAGTTACAGTAGTCATTTGTTTCAGGTTTTTCACCTATAGGGCTTTTGTGTTAAAACGCGTGATGTAGTTTTTCAATGATTCATTACGACTTTGATGAATTGACATCAAGCTTAATGTCATCTTTTTCTTCCTTTGTTCTTCAGCTACTCATAAATCCGCATAAAAATGAGTGGCTAAGCTTTTGAAACATCGTGATCGACCTTGATTTTAAACTGTTGCACCAAGATTGAGTTGTGCCCTTAAGGGTAATAACAAGGCCTTTACACATCAAAGCTTCGTTTGCACCCTGTATCTTTATGTTAGTTTTATAAAGCTTTAAATGATCAAAAGGATTAGAAGTATCGTCATAAGTTTCTAAAGTCAGTATTTTAAACCCCTTTGAAGGCATAGCTTTGTCGATTTCTTCAGTGAAGGATGATGTCTCCAAAAATTTAAGCTTGTCCTCAGAAGCTACTGCTTTTGCTTTTAGCTTTTTCTCCATGACTTGCATCAAAGCTTCCAAGTCTTTGTTTGGCTAGGGTTCCAGGTCAGTTTATTTTGATCTTTGGGTTGTGGCGTATATTGAGTTGTGACTTGGGTAGTGGTGAACGGCAGGAATATCATGCTCTTCTTGCTTAGAGGTCGATAAGGCTTTTATTTTTTCATAACTAGGTTGCTTTTTCACAGCTTATCGACTAGGGATGACTGGGTCAAGTACCTTTGAGACCTGTGGTGGGATTATAGTCTGTAACATTTGCATAAGAGCCAGTATTTGTTCAGTTAGAGTCTGAAATCGTTCCATGGTCAGACTAGCCTGTTGTGGGGTAGGTAGGTCTAAGTGCTAGTTGTTGTGTGTTTAGTTCCGGTTGGGATGACCGTCTTTCTTTCCTCCAAAGTTCTTTTTCTAAGTGGCATTGTCTTATGCTTGGTCGATGAGTAGAAAGTCCCTTACTTGCTTGCCAAATGCTTATGCTGAGCTTCGATAGAAGGATGATTTTGGAAGGACAAAAGAGAAAACGATTAAATGAAAATGCAAGAAATGTTCTTTGCATTTGCACTTCAATGTGCAAGCCAAAGATCATCAGGGTGAAAAGTAAATGATTAGAGGCTAGAAGGAACTTAGGATGATAATGCTTTGATGTTTATATTTATAGATGAGAGGCAAGGGACCAATGAAGGATAACAATAACGTGATTGAGCTAATGTGACATTGAATGTATCAAATCAACTTGACATGTCAAGTCAACTCCAATGTCTAAAATGCCCCAAACTATATGTTAAAAGTCTCTAATAAAAAAACAGACCATCATATCTTTTGAACCACAAAATACCCCCGTATATAAGACCTGATAAAATTTGATTCATATAACTTCAATTAAGAAACATTTTCTACATTGCAAATTATATCGATCGAGTTAAAAGTGGGCTTCCGATTGAGTAAAAAAAATGGAGAGGACATCTATCTCAACTGATGGGAGAGGACGGTGGCAGAGAAAGATGAACTCTAGATTTTGAAGGTTGGAGGTAGAGGTCTGGGGAGAAGAAGAAACTTTCTTTCAGCAAAACATATGATCTTCGTGAAATAATTTTCGAAACTTTCTTTCTCACTAAATTATACACATTTACCTTTTTGGTTCAAGCCATCTCACCATTAGTTACGATAATGAAATATCTATTTATTTTTCAATATTCTTCATCAAACAAAGCCTTAATGGGACATCATTTATGAAAACCTTCATGGGCAACAGCAGTCCCTTGTCAGAAGGTCAGATGATCAAACGTTTTAAGTATCGGATATAGAAAAAACCCATGATATTTACTCTGGCAATTCCATTTTGTTATATTCATAAACCAAAACTTAAAATCTAAAAGAGTTAGAACTGAAATTTTAAACCTTGTTTAATGTCATGCACAGCAAAATTTTAGGACCAGCTTGAGCTTTCAAAAATTCCCAATGCTCTGATTCTGCCTGGGTATAATTAGCAATTCTCACAAGACTGGTTCAAATCCTAGGGCCTTATGTTTATTCAAGAATTTTTAGACCTAATAATTTTAAATATGATACAATTACAAGATAATAAAAATAATATGAAAAAAATGATTTAAAATTTAAATAAAAATTATATAAAAACAAAAAAAAATGACACGACAATTTTCATGTTCTACACTTATTTAAAACGAAATAAACACGACACACACACACAGATATATATATATATATATATATATAAATTACTGAGATTTGAAATATTCTACTTCCTACTTGGTACTTTCTGCTATATATCTTTGTAAACCCTGCATGTAACATTACAGTTAAATTGCAATAACATAAATTGTCATTCGTCAGCAGTAGCATCAATTTTTTTTTTTTCTTTTGGTACAAAGTATCAGTATCCTTGTCATCTTAAGGGTATGAATGTGAGAAATCAATTCAAATCTATGGCTCAGGCTTAACATAGACAATGCTATTACATATCTCTGGAAACAATCTGAAATGAACTAATTCACCTTCCTACAATTCTACACTAACCAGAATGTATAACCAATTTTTTAGCAACCAATCGAATACCTGCACTCTGCTGATAATCATAGGTATCCAAGCTGAAGAATGCATCCACAGAGATCCCTCTTCTAAATAAGTTACCAAGCTCTGCAGCATCAAATTTGCTGAATCCAAGTTTTTGCACAGTACCAGAGCAGTCTTTCTGATGTATCTCCGTGGCATATTGGGCAATATTCCCGTTGACTACAGTAGGTATGCTAATAGAAAAGTCAATGAATCAGGCAAATTTGCAGAGGTAAGAGTTTATAAAATTAGACCCTTTCCAATTTTCAAAAATTTGCAAATCAAAACTTTCCCCAAACTTTCATGTCACTAAGGAGATAAAGACATTAACTGAATAACAAAGGAGAAAAAGACACTATGTACTAGAGAATCAAGATTCAAGCGTGTGCCCTCGACCGCCTATTTCTATTTTCTCTTTCCATTTTGGAAAGATTACACTTAAGAATGAAGGAAATTTATCACAATATTCTTAGTTAACTACAGAATGGTAGTTTGATATGAAACAAACTCCATTCCATTCTCTGCAGCACAAAATTCATCCTTTTTCCTAAACTAGGAGTTATTCATTTCCATGCCTTTAGAAAGAAAAGGAAAATGAATGAGCTATGAGAACTTACTGCAGTCTCACAGTTGGGCAGTTGATGAATTTAGAATTCCTGACCACAACATGCCTCCACTCAGAACTGCTTCCACAATCCTCAGAAATTTTTTTTGCAGCATCAGTACAAGCATCCAGGACCCCACATAAACTTGGTGGAGCACCAACTACAAAGCTCAAACGTGGCCGGCCAGCCTGATCAACAAACTTTGTATTGATTCCAAATCTCACTCTTAAACAAGGACAAAAAAGCTGCAAAGCAACATTTTCATGCAACAATTTTATTTGGTGGGTGCCACGATAATATGGGATCAGAGATGCACTGATAGAAGTTACAGAAACTTCATTAGGTTCTAGGAATCCTGCAAAACCACTGCAACCTTCAGTAACAGCTGTTGCTGGAGACCTCTCAGGAGATTCTAGCTCAGGTTTTTCTTCCACGGTGACATCTAATTGAAGGGCCTTGGTTTTTATTTCATTTCTGAGCAGACCCATGTCAAAAGGATCTGGTTGAGCTGGATCAGATGCATCTGAACTTGCCTCTCCGGTGTGACAAGTTAGAGGAGAGATTATAGGATGGTGTTCGCCATTTTCTAGATCTGTTGGAGATAAATTTGGAACATTTTCAGACGTTAAACTTGGAGAAAGGGTGTGCATGTTTGGGTTAGGCTGCTCAGGAGATGACTTGCTAGTACTACTACTTCTTGTCATAGGTCTTGGGGAAACTGCATTGTCTGCTGTGAGTATACCTGGGAGGCTTGACTCCTGTAGATAAATATAAGATTTGGTCAAACTTTAGATAATTAATCTTACAAAACATGCCCACTTAACCATCTCCAGGATAGATATCATCCTTAACTTGCAGAGCAAAAAGGCATTCCAAGACCAATCGGAAATCACATCCATACAAAGAAATGCAAGCATTTCTATATCCATAGAGTAATCAAAGTACTAGTGCCATATTACACAGACACAACAAAACCTACATTAAGATTAAAAATCAGTCAATTTCTTTTCCTGACTCCAATATGCTAATTGTAATTAAAGGAACTGGCGCTACACAGATATAAAAGTAGTTTACTTATATCCATAGCGGTAGATCCACTTAATAAAAGGACTAAGCAATCAGCACTTATAACAATATAAGGACAAGTCAGAAGCAAACAAAAACATTGTCATAAAGAAATCAGCTTCCTTAATGAGAGTAAAGGAGGAGCAGAAAAGATTTCAGAAGATTGATTCCAATAGTTTATAACCACACAAGAATAACCAAAGTGCAGGCAATTATTCAATGAAGTAGCAGGCAAAGTTAAAAGCAGGAGCTGAGGTATATACAGAGATGAAACTTGCTGAAGGATGTCAAATTTCCACTTCCAATCAAAGAGTTTATCCACTTACTATATGAATAAAGCACTATTTGATCGAACTCTCTGATTTAACATGTCAGCAGTTAAGGCACGTCAAATATGGTGCTTAATTTTTCAAATTTGAAATATAGAACTCCTAAATGTACGTAAAAACCAAAGGCATATCCTTCAAAACAACACAAGTGCTACTGCATTTGGCACTCTAAAACTACCATACCAGGAACAAAACTGTTGAACAGTACTTGAGAACTTCAAGGTTCATGCGAACATCATCCAAACTCCTGAATAATCATAGAAAAAAGTTCATTTCAAGGAAACATAAATTGCCGCAGCTATCCAAGGTGAAAAGAGTTTGTATTCATCATAGACTTGCCTGTGTGTTTGCTTCCCAATCTCAAAATACTTTGCAAGGGTGGCCATCTGCATAGAAGTTCATAAACATGTCATCAACCAAAACTTCATATTGACCCTAAAACTTACAACGCCTTTAGCGAATTGCAAAAAGCTAAGAAATCAAATAGTTAAGCAAGGATCTCAATGGTGTTAGGAACTTGAATCACATAATGATCAAATATTGCAACAGAATTTCCATGCTCCCCATGGAATAAACATAACTCAGACAAACACAAAAGTGAGCAAGATTAGAGCTGCCCATTGAGCAAGATTGGATCTTTTTACAGATTTCGACTTTTTCAGCTTAGGGTCAGATCTGGGGTTTGAGTTGTTCCTTTTCTTATGACAGTTTGGGTTGTATTGTCTAGGATTTCTAGCGAGCTTTCGCGAGAGCATATCACCTACAATAATTATACTACAATTAATCAATCAGAATTTAGAGTGGCCTAGAAGTCATCTTCTCACTTTCTAAATTGTACTTGGTAATAGGAGTACTACCCATTCATAATGGTTTCCAATCCAAGGTTGAAGCACCAGTTATATTTAGTAAGATTGCTCTGTTCCGCCTCATGATATCCTTCTTAGAGCGCTCTTTCTGCTTATCAAAATATTAGTGGAATCCACACTTATAAGTTATGGACCCTACATAATTCTTGATTGTGATTGGACAATTGTAAGTGAAATGCACCCAGCCTTCCAGGTTTGGGTAAACTTTTACCACATCTACTCAATAAGCAGAAAACAACTGAGTGAGTTAGGATCAGATTCAAGTTCATGTGGTTTCAGGGAATGGTTGGATCTTTACCAGCACACCTTGGGCCTGGTTGGCTCAGATTACAACCTCTAACAAGTTGAACATCCATATACCATCCACAAAAAAAAAAAACCCAAACTTTTGTAGTTTACTAAATTCATTTTCCATAATTGTTCATAACATTGAAAAAAAAGTTAAGGTTTCTAATATGAAATACAAATACCTTCATGTTACCAGCTCTCCTTCCAAATCTTTGAGTCAACAACGCCAGTGAATCAATAATTCCCTTAGGCTCCGGTGCCGGCCTGCCAATCTTCTGGAAAGCTTCCCTTATCCTCACGCAATCAAACCTCACTATATTATGCCCCGCCCAAACCCTTCCTGCAAAAAACATATATTTAAAAACTTCAAATATTTAGGAAAAAAAAGACAAAAGAGAAATTTGAGCGTGAGGTACGGACCATGGAGAAAGTCGTGAACTGTGTCGGCGATTTCGGAAAAGGAAGGAGCCACAGCAATGGCGTCACGGGTGATACCGTTGCCGCGTTCGGAGGCAGAGGAAATGGAGGAGAGGTCGTCAGGTCGGACAAGGGAGGAGTAGCTCTTGAGCTCCACGAGCCTCTTGGGGCAAACTAAAATGGCTCCGAATTCGATAATGGCAAAGCCTTGGCGGTGTCGCCCAGGGACGGTAGTTTCCAAATCGAAGAAGCAGATTTCGGATCTGTCATCGGACGTCGTCGGACCCATTTTGGAAGAGAAAACAAAGTCCTTTGTTTTAAAGTTCAATAAATAAGGATTGAGATTTTGGGAATCCGAGGTTAGACGAACCATTTGCAAAAGGATTTTCCTCGGTTACTTCTTCAGGGGTTTTCTCTATGTTTGACGATTCTTGAATTTATATTGCTCTATTTTAAATTAAACATGTGAAAAATATAAAAATTTAATACGAAATTTTTTTTAAAATTTTTATCAAAAAAAAAATATATATATATATATATATGGTTGAGATTTTAAATTTATCACATTTATATTTTTTTATTTAATTTCTGTATTATAATTGTCTAAGATGATCTTATCTAATTTTCTTTTGTAAGGACTATTTTAGTTTTTTTTTAAAATATTTTAATTGGCCTTTTATTTAAGGGTCAAGGCTCAAGAATATATTTTGAATTTTTTTATACAACAAATGAAATTTTTTTACATTTGACTTTAATGAATAGAAAAATTTATGAATTTAAATTAGTTAGCAAAAAAATAAAATGTAGTAAACGGTAATTATCTATGGCAAAGGGAAAGTGATAAAATCTTATAAATTATTGATGATCATAGAACTTGCTAATAAAAATCTTAAATTGTAAGTATACATGAAATTTTTTTTTGTCTTGAAAAAACATCTATGCTAAATAAATATTAATGTTTTCACTTTTGTTTTTTTTTTCCTTGTAATTTGTCTATCTTAACATAATTATAAAAAATAAATAATTAATAATTAAATAAAAAAAATTTTAATTATTTTTTAAATAAAAAAATTATTTATTTATTTTAAGTCGTGATGCATCACAATCCTTTTATAAAATATGTAAAAAAAATTAAAATTTAATTTGATTTATATAAATATTTTTAAAAATAATTTTTAATAAATTTATATTTTAAATTTTAATATTTATAACTTTTTATTATTAAATTATTATTTTTATATAAAGTAAAAAACCTAGCATAGGGGCAATTATAGCATGGGTCCTGGAAGGAGCCCAACTGACCAAGTTAAATGGCAGATTTACGCTAGGTATTATCCTTTGCCGTCGGTGCGCAAAAGTTTTTAACAATAACCGCAAGCAAACTATTTCCATAGTAAGATGCTAACCAAGACGAACAAAGTCGTAGGTTTGCCTCCATTGGTTGGTGTTTCTCTCCGGAAAGTGGCAAAAGACATGTTTGGATAAAAAAAAAAATTTTGAATAATTATACAAAATATATAATTTTTTTAAAATTTAGAATCTTTATTTAAAAAGTGTCAATTTTAATAATATGATTATATATAAAATAAATAGTATTTTTAATGAAAAAACCAAAAAATGAAATTCGAAACTCCTAACACTGATTCTCACTTGATCACATAATTAAAAAGTTTTAAAAAAATATAAAGATTTTGGTTTTAAACTGAGATTTCTTTTCTTTTTCATGAATTAAATTCATCTTATGTCAAAAAAAAAAAAAAAAACAGCACTACAATGAGACAATTTGATATTATACAGTGACAATAGTAATACAAATTAAGAAGTGCTTTTTATAATGGCGCACAAACCTTTGCAACAATACATGCATTTATATCATCTAAAAAAGAATTAGCACTTTCCATTTTTCATAATGATAACTTTCCAATTTGAGCCCAACTCTGACCCGCGGGCTTTTTCACATCCATTTCGATCATTTTGTGTCTCACATTAGCAACATCGTGCCACCTCTTGGCAGTAGCGTACACATTTGACAAAATCACAGGATAGCCGGCGGCATAGTTGGGATCAAGCTCAACATCCAATGTCTGAGCCAGTTGAGAGGCAAGACTAACATTCTTGTGAATCCCACAACCACGTAGTAGGGCACCCCACACAGCACCGTTTGGTTTTACAGGCATGGTTTCAATAAGATTGAATGCTTCATCCAAGAAACCAGCAAGGCTGAGAAGATCAACCATACAGCAATAGTGCTCAACCCCGGGCTTAATTCCCTCCTATTTCAAGTCATTTGTGTAAAATGATGCCGACCCTCTTCAAAAAATCCAGCATGACTACAAGCAGAGAGAACTCCAATGTAGGTTGTTTCATCAGGCTTGAGTTCTTTCTCTCCCAAGCTTAGCATATATTCTAACACAGTAATAGCTTTGTGCAAAACCCTGTTTTGCTAATCCCATGATCATGCTTGTCCAAGAAGCAGCACTTCTTTCCGGCATGTATCTCAGTACTTCATAAGCTTCCACAGTCAAACCACGTGTATAAGTGAATTGCTCAAAGACACCAACAATCGCTGGCTTCTAGATGTCTCTTTGATGTACGAGTGAATCCACTTCCCCAATTCCAAATCACCCAATTCAGCACAAACTGATAATGCTGCCGCCAAAGCCACCCGATCCAATTGTACACGTGCTTTTCTCATCTGACTAAAAAAAAAGACAAAGCTTGCTTGCACTTTTCATTCTTAGCAAACCCTGTAATCATTGTCGTCCATGACACCAAATTCTTCTCTGGCATCTCATAGAAAATTCTCCTCGCTCTATCAACATCCCCAAACCTAATATAGCCAGCGAGCAATGGATTCAGCTTACCAAATTTCTATCCCCCATTTCATCAAACACTTTACTCGCATAACCAATGCCATCAGCACCACCCTCCATTGCATACAAATTAACCGAATTTGTCCTCGCAAACACATTGGAGCAATACCCATATCTGTTCCTCTTCTCTTAACATCCCAGACCTCCCTCAAGCACTCAAAAGATACGAATAAGTAAACCCATCAGGGATAGCCTCCGTTGCAACCATCTGCTTGTGTAATTCGACTGATTTTCAGGTTTTTCGGTTCTTGATTACCCTCTCATGATCTGTTTCCAAATTGTAGTACTTCGTTTTTTGATAGTTCCAAAAATTTTAAGAGCGTGTAGCAGATCGCTAGAAATTAAATAGAATGAAAGAAGGTTTACTAGGATGAAATTTTTCTGGGAAAAACCGTTAATGATGATATGGGTGTGAATTTGAGCAAGCTTTTTTTATGGTGTTACAGTTTTTAAGAAGGGAAATGAGGTGTTGCCGTAGAGCTCTGGAGTTGGGTGGATTGGCTGCGTTTTATGGTTGGACAATGACGCGCAAAATGTATCTTACTATTACTACTACAGCCTCCGGCCACCATTTATGCATTTCTAAAACTGCCAATTGAATACACCTAGGAGTCTCTTTTACCATGAAGTGCATAGATCATGAAAATCATGAAGAAGCTTCCTTTAACGAAACCAAAAATGTCCAAGTTTTTTGCAATTACCCATCAACCCAAATCCCATCTCCCCAATCACCTTAAACCACCCAAAGCAAACCAAACCCTCAAAAGATATCTCAACTCCAATTGCAACACCAAAGCCATCCTCTTCTTTAGAGAATTAGTAAGACACAGCCCTTCTTCTATTGATAGCTTCTCTTTCCTTTTTGTCCTTAAAGCTTGCACCAAAAAGCCTTTCTCACTCGAAGGCAAACAATTGCATACCCAAGTCATAAAATTTGGGTTTCACCCCATCATTCATCTCCAAACATCGCTTATAAACTTCTATTCAGCATCAGGGAATCTTCTTGATGCACACTACATGTTTGATGAAATACCCTCCAAAAATATCATTTCCTGGACCTCCTTGATTTCGGCTTACGTTGTCAACCAGGAACCCCAAAAAGCTGTAGAGCTATTCAGGAAGATGCAAATGCTCTATGTGGAACCTGACCAAGTGACAATAACGGTTGCTCTCTCTGCCTGTGCTGATCTTGGTGCACTAGAAATGGGAGAGTGGATTCATGCGTACGTTCGTCGAAAACCGGAGCTCAAGGCAGACTTGAGCCTTAACAATGCTCTCATAAACATGTATGCAAAATGTGGTGAGATTGAAACTGCAAGGAAATTGTTTGATAGCTTAGGAGAAAAGGATGTTACAACCTGGACTTCCATGATCGTTGGGCATGCATTGCATGGACAAGCAAATGAAGCTCTTGAACTTTTTTGTAAAATGGAAGAAATAGGAAAAAAGAATAGCAAGAATCAGGAAGAGGGTAATCGTGGAAGTTCAATAATTCTTCCTAACGATGTTACTTTTATTGGGGTTTTGATGGCTTGTAGCCATGGAGGAATAGTTGAGGAAGGAAAGAAATATTATCGAAGTATGAGTGAAGATTATGGTTTGAAACCTAGAGATGTTCATTTTGGTTGCATGGTTGATCTTTTTTGCCGAGCTGGGCTGCTAAAAGAAGCTTATAATTTCATTTTAGAGATGCCAGGTCAGGCTAATGCGGTAATGTGGAGGACATTGCTGGGAGCTTCTATTCTGCATGGAGAGATTGAGCTTGGTGAAAAAGTTAGGTGCCAATTGCTGGAGTTGGAGCCTGGACATGTTGGGGACAATGTTGCTATGTCCAATATCTATGCTGCCAAAGGTATGTGGGATAAGAAAGTGATAGTTAGAGATCAGATAAAACAGCTGAGAAGGGCTCCCGGCTGTAGTTCAATTGAGGTATCTAGTTATATCAGCGAGTTTGTCTCTGGAGATGATGATCATCCTTTGAAGGCTGATATATATGAAGCCCTCAAATATTTGACTATCATAATCAAAGCATATGGTTAGTCTCCTGAAATTTCAAGCCTGCAAGAGTACCGACCAAGAAAATTGTTTCAGACTAGGATCCAGTAAGATTGGCTTCAGTGATATTGAAAATGGTGGTGACGGTGTGATTGAATATTGTTATGATGAAATATGTATTTGAATGCAAAAATAAGGTGGTGGTAAAGTGAAAATAAAAATGACAATTAAATACATTAATCTAAAAGTATACTTCTTGGTGGATATTCTCTGCCAATGGAAATTTATAATACTTTGAATTGCATTAAGTCTTTAGGATCCTGGAACAGTGAGTTTGGGCTTTATTAAATTTGCCTATCCTCTGTTGGAGCTTTTCTCAGTAAGACTAAAAATCCAAGGTTTTGCAGCCCCAAAAGATGAAAAGCTTTGACTGAATTCTCCCCAAACGAGAGCCCATGTAGAATTATAGTTCGTATGAAGAATGAAGAAGAGCCATAAGAATATTAACAACGTCATAAAGCATTGCTGATCCTTGGAACCCAGCAAGTCCTGCAACCTCTTCAAATCATACAGAGGAGACTATGAAAGAAATGGTGCTCGGGCAAAATCGGCTATAGTAAGGCAAATTTGGGTGCTGCACCAAGGTCAGTTTTTGCATACGCGGAAAACCTCGTACTTGTGGAAGGCACCTGCTGGAAATGGGAATCGGATTTTAAGGCCCTCGAAAGAAGACTGTTTATCTTCTATATTGCTTTATGCTATGGCTGGGGTGTGGTGCACCAAAATGCGGGGCTTGAACAGATGACAAAAGCTGGTATGACATTCATAGTTGCACCAAGTATGCTTAGGCAAGATTTTTATGACAAAAGACAGACATGAAGATTGCTTTATTAAACTGAAATGTGAAATGAATGGAACTTGCAGTTCATTACAAAATGCTTGAGATACGTATGAATCATTGAATTCCTAAAATAGACATGGTAAACAATGTATGCTTCAAAATAGCAATCTTACAATAGCCTTAATTTTTTTTCATGTATCAGCCATTTGGCATCAGGACCAATCTGACAAAATGACGGTAGCGATAATTTGCATATTAAACAACCATGACGTGCATATTATCTGCACATATGAAGTAAGCCATGCCAAATTAAACAACAAAACTTATCAGAAAGAAAACAAAAAATTTGGTGTAGGCATGGTTTAACACTTCTTAATGTATATGTTCTGCATCAGGTAGCAGGATTCAAGCAATCCGACAAGCAGATACAACAATAGGTTATTGAAATGAATCGTAAAAACAAGCTTCTATGAAATTGTTTTTATCTTTTTATCTTTTTTTTTAATAGCTTCAGAATTTATACACAAGATAAAATTGAGCAAAATTCTAACAAAGTTAGAGGGTAACACACATAGGAATGTAAATATGGTTATCACAAATTGGAACCGATCAGATCTTAGGCAGTCATAAATCACACAGCCACTGCTTCTGGCCTTTTGCTGGTTTTGATTCCTCTAATAGCTGTTAAATTGTTCAAGCCACAAAAATTCGTTAATATGCATTCATTATATGCACGAAAAATAATAAATAATTCCTTGTCCATACCTTCAGCATAATCTTTGGCTCCAAACACAGCTGAACCAGCCACTAGAGCGTTCGCTCCAGCCTCAATAACCTGCCAGCAATGAAAACCGCTTCAATTTATATGCCATAATTCACAAGATAAGAAATATTTATACCTATACAAAAGGTGGCAGGGAAGAGAGAGAGTTTTAACAGGGACACAACCCAATTTTTTCCTGGTTATGAATATCATGAATGATATGATTAACATAACTGTTGTCTTTAATGGATATGACAGGAAAAAGCAGGGCCATCCATTTTTTCGTTTTCCACTTTCTTTCCTTTCCTGCTTTCTTTTCACTCAACCTGCCTTTAACAACCATTTTGAACCATCCTGGCACGAATTCTTAGGTTTGAAGGTAAAATATCTGTGATTACTGTTAAACCCATCTCGCACGAGAAATCAAATTCGGGGTGATCAAAACCAGCCAATGAACTCAGCTGGCGAGTGTGAGGCTATAGATAAAGTCTAAAAATTAAAAAAATAAACAAGTTATCTAAGGGAGGCCAGCCACCTCTTTCAGAGCTGTTCAAACTGTCAATGGTAAAGCAACTGTAGGCCTATCTCTCAACAAATGATAACTCATAGAAACTAGGTTACAGGTTATGTATGAGTGTATATATGCATGCTTTCTGAAAGGAAGACCACATGTTCTAATGGGGTACCTTATATGCATTTTTAGGACCAACTCCACCATCCACTTCAATCCATGGGTTTACTCCCTGCATGGTAATACAAAAAGAAAATGTCACCACATTCTAAGGCATAAAGATAAACTCAGAGATGGAAGCAATTTATACCTTCTCTACACACAGTCTTCTCAAGTCAGAGATTTTCTTCACTTGACTCTCAATAAAGCTCTGCCCACCGAAGCCAGGGTTGACCGACATAATCAAGACTAGATCAACCACTGTTGAAATGCAAAAGAGAGATAATCATGTCAATTTCCTTCTATTTAGCCAAATGAATCCAAACATCTGTACTGGATGGGTTACGATGATGTAGTGAAGGACCTCTTATCCTTCTTTGCATAGTTGTCAATTGTTTCTGTTTTGTAATAAAAACAGGCCTTGAAGTCAAAAGTATTGAGTAGGTTGAATTTAGCTATTGTTAGAATGTTCTTTTTAACTATATCTCAAGGGTCTTTATGTTGTGATATATCCTTTCTTCCAAGTTATCAATATCAATAGGCAAGGCCCAGCATAGATCCACCGCTTGGCTCTGTATGCAATAAGCTGTGTAGGAATCATCCTTTGAGGGAAAGAAAAGCAAATGGAAAAAGAAATAGAAAATAGAAACTCACCATCAAGTACATATTCTATTGTAGTAAGGGGCGTAGCAGGGTTTAGGACAACTCCAGCTTTAGCACCTAGACTTTTTATCTATATGATAAGAAAAGTTTAGTGAAAATTTAGGAGAAAACTAATAGCACACAAATAGCAAAAGGAATCTCTGCAAAAAAATATTATATAGAAAGGCAATTTAAGCAAAGCCAATGCACACAACAGCACAAGCAAGCTAACAAGATATTATTAAGAATATGATGGCAAACAATAAAAAAAAATTCCCGGTAGTATCAGCAACACCATGATGATCATAAAACTACAACCTGTAACAGACAACTTTCAGGCATGCTGACAAGGACATTTTAAGAAGCAATGATGCACGATTTGAGGTAGGAGTGAGGGCAATAAACTCAATACTTAAAAAGCTGTAACAGCAAAAATAGGGTTCAAAAACAGAACAGACATTATGCAACCATTAAAAATGTCCTGGTCAAGCATCGATCAGTAATTCTTTGGTCATATCTCAGAAGAATAGCGAAGACAAATAAGTTCAAAACAAAGAACTAGCTTGAACAGGATGAATTCTATAGGATTGTACATGCTCCTAAGAATTCTGAACATTCCCGTCCCATCAGCATATCATGTGGTATGAAGCCCAGATACAGGGCAAAAGATTCGTCACACATAAATTTCTTCATCGCTAGTTTTCAACCTAAAGCAGGCACTCATGTCACAATATTCTAAAATAAAATCAGATGACAACTTCCAAGTGAAAAAACAAGTGAAGTTGTGCAGGAGAAAACAAGGCTTACTTTTCTGGTTTACATGACCTCATTATTTGAAATGCATTCAAGTTTGGGCTTCACTTGATCTGAAGATAATATTTGCTAGACTTCATTCACATATATTATGTAAAGTTAATATGGGTTAATCAACAGTTCATTTGATAAGCAGCCGTTATGAAACAAAGGAACTGCAGCTAGTGCCAATTCCCTAATTTATCGTGGAAAATATAGTAGAAAGGCTCAGAGAAAGAAAAACCTTACTTGATTAAGTGTACGATGCAAATGGATGGTTGACGACTGCTCACAGTGAACACTGACTATGTCTGCTCCAGCCTTAATAAAATCCGGAACTCGCTGATCTGGTTCCACAATCATCTGCAGTGCATCTATTTTCAGGTTAGATTTTTTTTTTTACCAATACTGGTCCATTAATCATAAGGTATGCAAAAAGAAGCATACCAAATGCACATCCAGTGGAAGATCAGTCACAGGTCGTAAGGCATCAACCACAAGAGGTCCAATTGTAATGTTAGGAACAAATCGACCATCCATTACATCCACATGGATCCAATCACAGCCTGCCAATTCCACTGCTTTCACCTAGAAAATATTGAAAGTCAAACTTCAAAAGGAAGCTCCAAATTGACATAAAAAACCATAGAGATAAAACATGACAAGAGCAGCAAACAGAGCTAACAGGCTGCCACTGACATTGGCATAGAGTCAAACACCAAAGCAATAATGCAGATTATAATCCATTGTCTTGTTCCAGAAACAAGTTGCATATCTGATAGTTATTGTTTACAAGGAAATCAGAAAGTAATTTCATAGTACAAGAAAAAAGATCAATATGGAACCTGCTCCCCCAACTTCGCGAAATTAGCAGAGAGAATAGATGGAGAAACAATGATATCGGTTTTTGAGAATTTATCAAGTCGAGCTGTTGCCTTCACTAGTGTAGCAATTCTCCTCCTAACAGGTTCAGAAAAAGGTAACAGAAGCATGTTAAAATATTGTATAAGACCTGGAAGAACAAAATTCAAATCTGATAGAAATTATAGATTTATTTTATATCTTCTAGAGTAATGTATAGCCTTATTTTGTACCAAGAAGACAAACACACATGCATTTATAACATGAAAGGTACGAAATATTTTCCAGTATAGAAGAAACATAATTTCTAAACAAAATGACAAGAGCCTTAAATAATTGAATCTGAAAAATTAGACTATTGTTTAAACACTTTCCCCTCATTCAGAACAATAAGGGCTACCTAATTATGGACTTTATTACAGCAGTTAAAAATTGTGTGGCAAATAGGGGAGAATAAAAACAAAAATTTCCCCAAAATAATGGAAAATTGAAATAGTATTGGAAATAATAAAACCTATTGTTACATTCTAAATCCTAAAACAAGATTGATAGATGCGGCTAAAATGTTACTGATGCACCTGCCACCTTCCATCCTAGAAGACCAATTTTTAGGGATGAGATAACCATTAGCTATCTTTAAATCTCAGATATGTCAAGAATTTCAGGACCGCAAGATAAAAGAAAAGACATAATTGAATTTTAATGGTATTTGCTTCTTATATCATGTAAATTTGACACTTTCACCTGTGATTTTTCAGAAATAACTGAGGGAAAGATATTAAGAAAGTTGTGGAACAGACAACAGAAAGAGGCATAAAAATTTAAAAATGTACAGAAATTTTAAATGTGATTCATGAGTGCAATGCGATAATAGATAACTTGTACTGAAGGCCACATTCCAAACAGCAATCCTAACTTCAACTTAGCATAAACACACAAGCACAAAGCACAAATTTGAAAATAAATAGTCCTACTCATGCATCCACAATTTTGCTCCCAAGTAAGCACCTACCATACAATTGCAGTTTCGTCAAATTGCATATTCAATATACCAAACATTAAGTAATCAATAATTTCACTGTAAAAAAACCCCCCTAAGCTTTATTTAATTTATTACAGTTTAACTACTTTATATTCTTGATGTATATTTTAATTGTACAAGCCCTTCACTTTCATCACAAACCACCTTCATTTGTATATCCAAAACATTATAAAAAATGAAAATTTCTACCATAGGAAAAGAAATCATCACAGTTCAATCAAATTATGGTTGTTTACAAAGAAATTTCAACATTTCTAAACAGGGTTCTATTGCTAACAATCATAAATTTACACCTTTACCATCTAAAACTCTAATGAATACACAAAAAAAAAAAAAAAAAGAATCAACAAAAAGAATGGCAACCCACAAAAAGAATTCTAAAAAGAAAAAAGAATACCTTGTAAAAGTAAGTGTCTTGGGTTGAGAAAGATGGGTTCTTAGAAGCCTAAGTCCCCCTCCAAGGCCATTAACCTGAGTTGATGAACACAATGACGAAGCTGTTGACATATTTTACTTTTCTTTTCCCTCTCTTACCTTTTCTATGTAATCTATAAAGGAGGGATGTTAAACGGTTATGTTTGTTAAAATCTGCCAACAGGCAACAGGTGACAGCAACAGCAACAGCAGCAGCAGCAAGATTTAGAGCTCCTTAAAAAAATCCTTAAAAAATCTGGGAGAAATTTAGGAAGAAAAATATTAAATGATGACACGTGTCATTTAGATTTGTGGGTTTGGTTTGCTTATCTTCAACGGTTGGCGCTCCACATTGCTGACGTGTGAAAACGGACTGCAGAGTTGAGTTGAGTTACATGGCCTTTGCTGAGACAGCCTTTGTGATTACAGATTTTGTCACTTGTTTTTTCTTTTTTTTTTTTTTAATTTTTTTCTGTAATTTTGTTTTTTATTCAACTCATCCTTCCCATGGACCGATCTAACTTTCCATAAATGCAAGGGAGGTTTTTGATCCGTCAAGTTGTCATTTTCCTCTCATATAATTGATCCAATGCATGTTATCTATATCTATATATATATATATATATATATATATATGGATTACAGGTGGCATGCTTTCCTTGAAAGCGATATATGTTTCGGAGTTTACTTGCTGTAGCCTTCAGAAAATGCGTGTCTTACGTGTGGCTGGCTGTTCACTCTTGCATATTGTTTTTTGTACAAATGAGAACAATATTTAAGGAGAATTGAAAGGTAAAAACTTATAGGTGTTAGAAATAGAATTTTTTTAAAAAATAAATAAATTATTTAGGTTAAGTCTAAAGTTCTACTCTTACATATTCTGATTATTAACTCTTATTATCTTTATTTATTTCATTCTTTTGTTTTAGAAAAATCTAATCTAGAATTTGCAGCCTTTTTTATATATATTTTCCTTTTTTTTTTTTTGGTTTATTTTCTTTGCCACTAAAAGGAATTCATCTTAAAAGCAAGAGGGAAATGCAATTTCATTAACTAAATGTCTAACTAAGAAAATCGACTCTATAATGTTAACGTTAACGCAATTTTATTTCTATTTTTTTTTATTTGAGATCTTTAGTTCGTAATCATTTTGAGTTTTAATTAATTTAAAATTAAATCAAATCAAATTTTATAAAAAAAATAAATTTTTGAAATTTTTTTTATTTATAATATTTAAAATTTATTTTAAAAAATCAAATTCTTTAACCATACGAACTAACAAATCTTAGTATTTTATTTCTAACTTTTTTTTCTTGTTGTGTGCCTGAAATAGTATAATTTTAATGTAAATGCCGATACGTATGGGTCGGCGTCAAAAGTTGAAGTGGCTTCATACTAAAGAATATCTAGCTATTTGCCTTCGCTAGTTCGGAATAATGGTGATTGGCTAGCAATATGGCAGCCGCCGGTTTAATTTTTTTATTTGTAATTAATAATATTAAATTTAATAAATTAGTGTATAGTTTTATTTATAATTTTTGAATAAAAATAATGATTAATAAAAATTTATCAACTAATTTATAAATAATTTATGCATTTATTTTCATAACTTGTGTAATAAATTAAATACAAATATATTTTTTAAAATTTATTTTTCTAAAATAATTAAAAAATAGTAAAATAAATAAATTTAAAAATAAAAAAAAATTCAAGCAAAAAGACAAAAAAAAAAAATTCAAATAAGATGCCACATGAACATAATACTAATGAATCGAATAGGATATATTTATGTTCATCCGACTTTGATTTAATATTATATTATTATTTTTGATACCCACTTTGATTCTTGTATATATATGTATAATCTGTATTTGATATGATTTGATTAAAAATTAATTTAATAGTATAATATTCATAAAATATAATTTTTTAATATAAATTAATTATATAAATATAATATTTTTTTAAATAAATATATTAAATAATTTATTAATTTAATATAAAAAATTAAATTAAATAATAATAAAATATATATTTTTATTTATATCTCAAGACGGAATGATATAAGAAAGGAAAAAACATCTTAAACTTGTCTCTTATTCCATCTCAATTTTAAAAAAGATAAGTTGTTATACCTTGAGCCGATTTCAATTTTAAAAAATAGTCCTTATTAAATTGATGGGTGGTAACCATTGGATTCGTATTGTTTTGAGACCACTATCTTTACTAACTTCATCCTGGCTTAATTAAAAAAAAAAAAACTCGATTTAATCTCAAATTAAAAAAAAATAAAAATATATATATATATATATATATTAGGTAAGAGTGAATCAAAATCCATTAAATATATATTGATTTGTTATCTTACATTTATTGATTTTTTTTACAAAAAATTAAAAATTAAAAATTAAAATATAAAAAAAGATAAAAAATAAAGACAAAAGGTGCTATGTGGGTTTATTAAATTAAAGTATTAAATAATAATTTTATTAATATAATATAAATAATAAAAAATTATTTTTATATATTTTTTGAGTAAGATAAATACTTTAAATTAGTTTCTAACTCGATTTTGATTTTTTAAATTAAAATAAAATCTTGACTTAATCTCTATTTTTTAAAAAATGCACAAATTAATTTGGGATGAATCAAAACTCTTACTTCTATTGACTTTTTTTTTTTTACACAAATTGTCTCTTAAAAAATAAAATAAAAGATTTATATATAAAAAAAGGAAATAAAGAATGTAGATTTTGAAAAAAAAAGTGGGATGTCACGTGGAAACCCATTTTTTTTTTTAATCTTTACAAAATTAATATTATGGATTATTTTAAAATGACACAATGAAATAAAAAATAATAAAAAATATGTCGATTTTGGAAAAAAAGATGTGGTCTCATGTGATGACCCCGTCTTTTCCAGACTCTACAAAACTAATGTTATAGATATTAATTGAAAAAGACAAAAAAAAAAAAAAATAATGCTTTGAATTCGTTATCATGTGGATATGGTTCATCACATTTGAACCTCTAATCTACTCTTTGGCAACATTGTATATTTATTATTTGCGATTTGAGTTTTAAGTCTACATTGGGCTTTCAAAAAACAAAAATGAAAAACCCCATTTTAGATACAGAAGTTTATATGCCACCGTTTGGTCTGTGAGAAAAATTTATGAACTAGGGAATTGTTGGGACCTTTTTTTCATTGGAATGTGATTATTTGTGCTAAAGGGAAAAGATGGAAGGACAAAGGAATAAATGGTTTAAGGAATATCCAAAGATTCAATTCCCATTTGAAAGTAATGTTATGTCTTTTGATGAATATGCAAGGCCACATTCATGCCTGATGGTGTCCATTTCTTCCATGCGAAGCTCTCTCTCTCTATATAGCATCCGACATGATAAAAACCATACTATTGTTAGGCCAAAATGCAATTTTTTCTAATAGATGATGGCTCCACTACCGCAAACTAATCAAAAACCAACACCAACTACCTTGATAATCGCATGTGACGGTTCATCGTCAATCCCAATTCTTGTCTCAATTACTACTCTAAATCTCTCCAATCCTTTACCCCAACCCACCCCAGCCAATCCCTGTCCCTCCTTCTTTCTCTTCTTCTCCTACTTTGCTCCTCGGTCCTCTTCTTCTGGCTTATTTTTTAATTTTACCCAAATGAGAATCTTGGTGCTAATAATACGAAGCGGTTGAGAAGAAACCCGGACAAGAATGACCCGGACCCTGATGTGGAAGGCATGATTTTGAGGGATCGAGAAAGGAAATGTGGGTTGAGTTCAATCAATGAGGTTGATGGGTTTTGTTGTGGTGGCTTTGATGGTTGTTTCAGTTATTTTTTCTGTTTCTGTAGTGCTTCAAGACCCACCAAGTGATGGGGGTTTTGGAGTCTGGTAAAGAGGTTAGATTTCTTTTTTTTTTTTTGGGAGTCAAGTAAGGAGGAAACAGTTCTTGAAGTCAAACCCCAGAAAGGTAACTTCAATCTTGTTTTTAATTTTTGGTATGACTGAAAGTAAGGATATTTTGCTCTTATGAATGAAACCCCAGAAAGAACTTCATCTTTTGGGTTGTTTTAAATTTTTTTTTGACTGTAAAGTTTTAGTTTTTATTCGGTCAAGTAATGAATTTGAGTGTTTCTGAATAATTTTTTATCGGTTTTATTGAGTGGATGTGTAAATGCTGTTGCGGCTTGGTTGTAAACTTTCTTGTCCGAGTGCCATAAATAGTAGCTAATTTCATTATGGTTGGCTTGCTTGAAGCTGCTTAATTTCATTATAGCTGCTGGATCTATGTCACTACTTTTCATGATGCTGAATGTGATGATTTGGAAGTAAAATGCTTTAAAATGGGTCATGTCTTTTGAATGCCTTACCTGTCAGTGCCACATTGTATTTTCCATTGTAAAGCAATCTATTAAGGACAAGTTCCTCTCCATGTCAGCTTGTGTCACCCAAGATGGCCGATTGTTGGGTTAAATTGTGGAAGTCTTGTGCATTAACAAAATTAGTTGAAGTTTGCTTGAACTTTTGTGATTGCCATGCTTTTATCTATAGATTCTTTATTTCTACGCATGAATCTGTTGTTGAATGCCATTTTGTGGTTTACAAATTTTCTGTCAACCACTTTATCTCATGTTTTAGTGCACTTTTCAAGGTTTGAGTAGAAACTTGGTAACATAATTGCACTCTGCTCCCCCCCTACTATTTTGTTGTCGAGAGGGGTTCGAACGTAGGTTCTCTCCACTTAATTTTTCTACCCAACTCACCTCTCTCCCTCGTAAAAGTTTTCAACCCCTCCATGTAAAATCTGCAATTTTTTTTTTTAAATTTGTGTGATGGCAGAAATTTCACATCAGCCTCATTTGTTAATAATTATTGGTCTGAGAATAGATGCATTGGCGTTAAAAGTATAAACGATATATTAATACTTTTAAATTATTTGAATTTAATTTAAATAAAATTTAAATTTTTTTAATCATTATCGAGTTAAATTTAAATAATTTAATTTATTTTACTAATTAAATTTAAATTCTTAATATTTGACTTAAATAACTTATGAATTTAATTAAATTTTATATTTGAATATATATTTTTATTATTTTAATTAAAAAATTATTATTTTATATATATATAAGAGTTTGAATTCGAATTTAAATACAAATCATCGAGCTTGAAATCGAGTATAAAAATAAAAAAAAATTTTATTTAATAAATAAATTTAATTAAATAAATTTAAATAATTCGATTTTTACTTCAAATAGAGTCCGCTCAATTACAACCTTAATTGGCCTAGTTTCATATTATTCACGGTCCTCACCTATTTCTTTAATTTGAATATGGTATTATTTCCTCAAATTCAAAATTTTTTTTTGTTAAATGAACATGGAACAAACTTTGTTTTCTGCCTTTTAAGTCGAAGGTCCAGTTGGTGATTGTGGCCCTTCCGTTGGGGCGTAAAAATAAACTGCTAGGTGGACTTCTTGCAGCTGGATTTGATGAAAGATCTTGTGCCAGCAGCTACCAATCTGTCTTGTACCACAAAGAATCGCTACATAAACCTTCACCTTACTTAATCTCAAGGATACGGAGTTAGGAATCTCTCCATAAACGTTGTGGGCCATATACTGAATCCTATAACAAAACCTTGGAAAAGCTCAAGACCATGCATCACCATGGATCTAGGTGGTAATTATTATGGATTTCCTTTAGTGGATTAGGGAATAGGATATTGACTCTAGCTTCAGCATTTCTTTATGCTCTCCTTACACATCGTGTTCTACTTGTCGACCGTGGAGCTGATATGGTTGAATTTTTTAGAACCATTTCCTGAGGTCTCCTGGTTTGTCCCTTCAGATTTTTTCCTTAAAGGTCAGTTCAACAGCTTTGATCAGAAATCTCCTCACTGTAATGAGAGAATGCTGAAGAATAGCACTTCTGCTAATTCAAGCAGGTCGATATCGTCTTCTTTTGTGTATCTCCATCTGGTCCATGATTATGATGGTCAAGATAAGCTTGTTTTCTGTGATGAAGACCAAATTTCTCTCCAGGATGTGCCTTGGTTGATCATGAAAACAGATAATTATTTTGTCCCATCGCCCTTCTTGATCCCCCCTTTCGAGCAGGAACTGAGTAATCTCTTCCAAAGAAAAGAAACAGTTTTCCACTTCTTGGGTCGATATCTCTTTCACCCGACAAATCCAGTTTGGGGACTTGTAACTAGATATCATCAAGCTTATTTAAAGCTGATGAAAGGATGGGCATCCAGATCAGGGTATTTAACACTGGGACTGGTCCATTCCAACATGTGTTCGATCAGATCATTGCTTATGCCTTGAAGGAGAATCTGCTGCCTGAGATAAGCAAGGAAAAGCCCATAATTAATCAATCTCAGAAATCTAAAGCTGTCCTGGTTACATCTTTGACTGGTGGTTACTATGAAAGAGTAAGGGACGTACTGGAAACATCCAACTGTGACAGAGGAGATAATCAGTGTTTACCAACCAAGCCATGAAAAGTACCAGCGAACAGAAAAGCGTTTTCACAATAGGAAGGCATGGCCAGAAATGTATTTATTGAGCTTAACTGATGTGCTAGTCACTAGCTCATGGTCAACTTTTGGGTATGTTGCTCAAAGCCTTGGAGGATTGAAGCCATGGATACTCTAAAAACCTGAGAATCGGACAGCCTCTGATCCACCTTGTCGTCGAGTTATGTGAATAAAGCCATGTTTCCATGCCCCTCCCTTCTATGACTGCGATGCCAAAAGAGGCATTGACACAGGTGCACAGCTTCCTCAGGTAAAGCACTGTGAGGACATGAGCTGGGGTCTTAAGCTTGTTGACAATGAGAGTGAGTATAAGCATTGTAGCCCACGCATTATACTAAATCAAATACCTTAATTTGCGCTTCTGCAAACATTTTTGTTGGAACCCTCTTAGCACCTAGTTTCCCTAACATGATTCTAGTGTTTATGCAGTTAGAATCTATGCTCATAAAATGGATCCCATTGATTGGTTGATCACTCATAAATGGAATGAGATGTTGCTGGGAAAATTATTCCCTGGTGGCTATAAATGGAATATACAAAGTCAATGTACTGCAGTACTTTTATTCCCTGTACGAAGCTTGGGATTATCTCTACCTTCATTTCTCGAATCATCTCCACCAAAATTGAGACCACAAAACATAGATGAAATGTGAAAGCAGGTAAATAAATTGGCATCATGTATTCCAAGATAACTTTCAGGCAATTTTTCCACTAGGAGAACCAGCATTATCCAGTTGCAAATCTGAAGTATCATCAGTTAATGAGACAAACTTAACATATTTCATGTCTGTACATATAACATAAAACTCATCTCCATTGCCTGACTCTATCTTTGCTTGCTTCCATCAATTCTTCCTTCCTTCACACAAGATGATATGGTATCCATGTCTGTAATATAAAGAGAAAAATAACCAAATAATAGTCAGAGCCAAGGAAATTTGAAAGGGTTAACAGTATGAAGCTGAATTAACAACAAAAATACATACGTTGATTTGAAGGGTGCACTAGTAGCTCCAACGACTGTGTTGAAGGCAACTTCCTGAAATGGGCCTGCCATCTTACCCCGAGGAAACCATCCTAGATCTCCACCCTTCTTCCCTGATGGACACTCTGAATATTCTTGAGCTATCTGGAAAAAGAGACGATGAGTATATTTAATGAACACCAGAAAAGAGTATTTAGGTAAAAAAAATTCTCTTTGCTCCCAGTAAATAGCAATGATGGCATAGTCCTTACAAATCCACAACACTATGCACACATATAATCGATAGTACATTCCCATCGACGATATGAGTTTGTATGGATGTGTGCATAAGCACATACATATGGAACTCTGTTGGCTCAGTGAGTACCTACGACAAAGTTCTAGCAAAAAAAATCCATGTCAAAGACTATGTCATGCATGCCTGCATGCTATAGAGAAAATGTGGCCAGTATTTTGCTGAACAAAAGCAACCAAATTATAGATCACCACCAAAGTTGTCTATCCCTACTGTCTGTTTTTCTTTGATTTTCACTGGAGAATCACATGAGGACGTGATGGATAAAGGAGTAAACAGTAGGATTATTTGAATTGCTGATAAAAATCTATTCAATCAACAATCACTCCATATTTAAGTAAGTTATCAGATATGAATGTTACTGTCATCACAAAGTGCCATGACTAAAGATTGTTCTCCCGATTATTAATTGTGCATTGTTCTCCCAATTATTAATTGTGCTCCTGAAAACAAAGTTAGATTTCTAGTATAGTATATTTAAACATTCAAAAGATGAAATCCTGATAAATTCACCTTTGCAAATTCAGCTGGTGGGACCTTATCACCATTGCTAAGCCAACCATCTTGCAGTTTCTTGTACGCTTCATTGATCTTCCCCTGCTTCTCACATAAGATGTGCCTAGCTGAAAAATAAAAAAAAACAAAAGAACAACAAGCGTGTAAAAGATACGTGATGAAATGTAATAAAGTATCAATGCTTCTATGAAAATGGTAACAGGAAAAATAGACCTTTAACATAAGTGCAGGTGCCAAGTCCATCTCCCTTCCCCGCTTTTCCTTTGCCCTTTGAAGCACTTTCATCGCTTCCACCTCCAGCTTGTTTGCCTTTTCCCTTGGCTTCCTTTGGTTTTGAGTCCTTTCCCATCTCTCAAAAACCTAATTATCTAAGTACAAATTAATGTAATTGCTAGAAGGAACAGCTTCAACTGCATTTGCAAAGGATGTCAAATGATAAGATTTTGATTTTTTTCATTCACCTTTTCTGGGAAAAAAGAATTTTCTGTAGTAAAATTTTCCCGTTTCTCTAGCAAAGCTATTAAAAGTGAAAAGAGACTGTATACTTCTTTCTTCCTCACTTGTAAATAAAGTACATCATTTTACAATTCAAGCTAAAATCAATGCCCTTGAATAAGAAACTTAATGTTTAGGCCAAGATGTGGAAGTGTTACTGCCCTTGAAACCCCCTTTAAATGATTATTCAGTTCTTCAAAGATCTAATCATGTCTGGTTTCCATGATTTAACACCTAATGGAATTATAATTTCACACATGTACTAAAAAGACCGACCAACTATTCATATCTCAGACAGCTCAACATTTCGAGATCTAAATTGTAGTATTAAACTCTGATTTGATGCATGGTAAGAAAATGACAAGGGTATAATGCAAATTTGAGGTGGTGGGTAAAACTCTTTTCTAGACATATTGCTCCTTCTAGTTCTAAAAAGAAGCCATAATTCAATAGTATAGTTATTTAAAGTCCTGAAAACATGTTAGACAGTTCACTCACCCTTTCTAGTTCATATGCAAAATCATTAAGATCATACTTCCTGAAGTGGGACAACTGTCTCCTATACTTTAGCCCTAACAATAAGTTTCCTAATCTACACCTTCATATTACTTCAATCATATTGATTTTATGCACTTCATTTCCAGCAAAACTCACCCAACAGAACTCTACTCAAATTATTGCATCAAAATTTCATTTTCAAACTCAATATTGAACAGCATGCAAACACATATGTAAAGCAAACACTATAAAAAAAAACCCACAAACTAAAAAAAAAAGAAAGAGAAAAAAAAACTGGAGAGAATGAAAATAAAAGGGTGAATTTTAATCAAGGAAAATTCTTTATTAAAGGAGAATGAATTAAAATCAGAAGAACTTGCAAAGAGAGAAAGAGAGAGATGTGGTTGTTTGATACTTTTACCTTTGTATGTGTACAGTCACAATAACAAAGAGGGACAAAGCAATGGTTTAGTTTTGGTTAATCAATGTCTCTGAGACCAGGTTCCCCTGATGGAAGAACAGATCAGTTCATTTGATGAGGCTTCGAGGTTGGGCCTTTGTCTTAGGTTTGGGCCATTGGCTTCGTCTTTCTACTTAAATGACGTTATTGCCCTAACTTAAGTCGGGGGATTGTCAATTTTTATTTGATTTATTGATTAAGAGCACTGCAATTAAATTGTTAATAATCAATTTTAATTTTTCACGAATATGTTTTGAATTTTTTAATCTTTTATTAACATAAAATACTTCACATCCAGATAAGCGAGTTTAGTGAGACTTTGTGTTTAGAATTGAAAACACTTTTAATAATTAATATATATTTTAGAATTTAATTTTTATAACTTATATGTTTATAATTACTAGTGAAAATTATACTACTAATAATAAATCAACTTTCAATATTATGTACAATAGTTGACAATCTACAATTTAATTCACTAGTTATTTATCTCTTATACTAAAAAATATAATGACATAGGATTTAAGTGCTCTTCAAATTTGAGAAAAATTAAAAAAAAAAAAATAGTAGTGATTATTTTCTTTAACAAAGCTGAATCAAGCATTATATACATAAACGCATGTAAATCACATGATATTTAATTTGAAAATACGTGTATATATATATTTTTTGCATTTAAAGATTTAATTTTTGTTGTATACATCCTACGTATCTAATTGCATATTTTTTGGTCAACTATCCATGATGGACATGCTGTAATGAATAAGGAAGATGCCTTTTTTTATTAGAATTTAGAACTTCATCTTTAAAGTTGAAAATTTCGAACATAAATTTTAAGTTGACGATAATAATAAAGAAAAAAATTCTCACATTGTCCAATCCAATATCATTAGTATCAAAAACATATTATAAACATTTATATACTTTGAAATTATGTCAGCCCATATTTCCAATCATTAATATGAAGTAATTTTACTTAAACCGTAGTTTGAAACTATTTGTCAACACTAATATTTAAATTTTAAATTTATTAAATATCATTTTAAAAGAATACAAAATTCAATTGAGCTAATTTTATGCTTAAACAATATTCAAAACCTCTTAATATAATCAATCGTACGGACGTCATTTGACCCATAGTAAAAGAATAGAGATTAGATTTGCTAGTTTTCTCGTCACAAGATTTAAAAGAAATGAATAACCAACAGGTTTACCGTAAATGCCATGATCTTAAAGAGCGTATCAATTATATACTAAAATTGATTTTTGACATATAAATGTTTACACTATTTTCAACTTATGAAGTTTTTTTTTTTAAGATAAAACCATAAGATCCAATAAATTGAAACAGATAATATCTCGCAAACGAGAAAGCAAAAAGTGGGAGAAGCTCTGACCGATGGCCTCGGGGAAGGCCAGAACCCACAAGGGGGAAGGCATAATTAGACGCACCTTCAACATGGATGACAACAAAATGGTACTTTTATTTTTCTATACTGGCCAACTTCATAGGAGAAGAAAGTTTATACTAACACTGATCCTGACGACTCAACAAATATGCTGCAAACCCATATCTGTAATTTGAGATGTTATAATTTCCATTATGTGCTAATTTCATCTGTTTATTATCTTCTATCCACAAATGATTGTTTCATGGAGATTGAAAAGCGTTAGATGCTTACAGTTTCTGAATTATAAAACTACATTGCTTGCCTCAAGACGTGTCTAACTGTCTGCTTGACAGCCTCTCATCGATGGCCAGTTAGTTTAAAGCTAACATAAATCCCTGTCATGTACATCACCTGCCAGAAGTTGACGCCATTTTAAGTTTTCGGCCTGCATTGTGAGAAGCTACTTAGTCTGAGTCTGACAGCGTCATCTGGTAAGCATCTCTTGGTTCCAAATCGGTTATTGAAGGAGGTAGATCATTGTTTGACACCTTTCTTTCCCTGTGTCTCTCTCTCGGTCTAGGTTTATCCTGGAAAGCAGATGTAGCAACTGGAGGTCAAAATATGTTGAGATTAATTGAAAAAAAGAGGATGATAAATTGTATACAATGAACTAAGATCATGTTTAGTACATAAAATTATGATAAGATAAGATAAGATGATATTATGAATAAGATTAAATTAAATAATATCATCCTATAATTTATTTATTAATCAAAATTATGTTTTCTCAAAGTTTATACAATTTAAATTATTGATGTAATTTTTAAGAATATAATAGGATATGTAAATTTAATCTCATAGATTAAAGATAATCCTCTCCACTTTGGGAGGGGATTGAATCACCCTATACCAAGAGGATGATAATCCTCTTCGTAATCCTATTCCTTTCAATTAGATACAAACTAAATATAATATAAAATAATTATCATACTATTTTATCCATCATCTTATGCACCAAACATGACCTAAATACCTTTCAATTCTCTTTGCTAAACAATGATATAAATGGATTAAGAAAGTAGAACTAATCAGCCAAATGTTAAAGACATGAGAAACATGGAATGTAGACTCTACAAGCAGTGCAATGTTCTTCCAAGGCTCCATTTAGTTGATGCTTTTACCATTTGATTTTGCTAGCCTTTTGTATTCTATTCTTTTTTTCTATTTTCTTCTTGCTTTATTTTCCAAAAAAAAAAAAAAAAAAGCAAAAGCATCAACTAAACAATGCCTGAATAATGATTAAAGCTTGATCTATTGACCTACTTAAAGAAAGGTTGAACAGTACCAATGTATCACATGCAGACATTGGGATTATGTTAAAAAATCAGACCTACAATAATCTAAAGGAGGGATGTAAGAGGAGAAGATTTCATTTATTCAGCAGATATTTGGTGGATAGTAAGCCTGGCCAAGAAGACTTAACATGGACATATCAGCATGCTGAAAATTAAGAAAAAGCATAAGTGCATAATTCATTGCCAATCTGGAGTCAGTCTCGTTAATGTAATAGACAAAGAGAGGTAATTGGGCAACTTTTTGCATGAATAAACAAGTGATATTTCACAGTTGACAAGCAAACTTCTTTAAGGCTTGTAGCACAATTCAGATGGAACAAAAAGTACCCTTCCTATGTAGTTTCTAGCTTCCAATCGGTGGTCATCATTATTGATTCCAATTAGTGGCATAAAACACCTATGTTGCTTGAAGATTGAAAAGAGAAGCATTCCAAATTATCACTTACATCATTATCTGCTTGGCTTGGTTGACTTGACTGAGCTGGATGATTCTGTTGACTCCTAATCAACCAGATGCTACCATAGGACATCAACGATCCCAAAAGCAAAGCAGGACCAATCCTTGGATCCCCTAGATAATCATATATTCGAATTATAATGCCCTGGACTTTTTGCTTTGCTCCCATGCTTTTGGAAAGTATGCCTTGTTGACCTCTTGACCATAAAGGCTCTGCATCCTCAGGAACTAGTTCTGGTGTTTTTACCCTCTGCAATTGGAATAGACCTAAGAGCTTGAGTGGCAAGTTTAAGGTTTCAAAGGAGATAGATAATGAAGTTATAATTTAAATAGCAACTGTTACACAACACCATATTTACAGTTCAACCATAAATATATAGATGCCACCCCACCTCTCTTCCTTGCGGCATTACGCCCAAGGATGTTCTGGGACAGCAAATTGTCCCTCTCTAAAATATTCTACAAACAACAAAAATTTGTTGATGGAAATATGACTCGCCTAAAATTTCTGGACGAACAAAGATACATTGATTACTAAAAATAATTTAATGAGAGTCTCTTGGCGTAGACTTTGCCCAAAACCATATGTTCATATTAAGCAATAGTGATAAGAGTTAACATAAAAAAAATTAAAACAAAGAGCATCCACAAACATAAGCCTTCTTTTAGAAATTAACAAAAGAAACAAGATGCGGCATACATAGAAGGGGAGATTCCTGGAGTCACCATCCTTGATTATATTTGATATCCATTGGCTAATCTGCAAAAGAGGCAGAACACTGACAATTAGAAAAAATCTATATATTGGCTTAAGAAGGTTTGGTCTCTTACATTGTAAGGATTCTCGACAGAACATCAGAAAATAAATAATGCAAACTTATAAACATATAAGACAGCTGAATCATGAAGGCACCTGATGCTGTAGCTAAACTCACAAGAGATAGATGCTTATACCTGAGAAATTTCAGCTGAACCATTGTAAGTCACTGAAAGTTGTGCAGCAGGATCAACTTCTTGTTGGTGGAATTCCCATATACTTTTTCCCTTCTTCTCAACCTTAACAGTATCTGCAGTAGCGTTCCTTTCATAGCGGACAATGAATAACCGGGGGACATCAGTTGGAACTCTCCTCGGTCCACATGTTTCATAACTATTTTCCGTATTAAGGTAGAAAAAACAGTAGTTCTGGATAAAACTCAAAAAACAAATCAGAAGTTAGATATAAATAAGATGAATATAATTAAATTGTAGTACAAAAATTTGTAATCTAATTCCTACGAGATAATTTATTGGTTTGGTCTGTCTAAGATTTAATGATTAGCTATCGGTGTGAGAGCCCAGATGACCAAATGTCCTAGCTTTCAAAAACTGGCACCCATTGTGATGCTAAAAATTAATTTCAACACAAAATAGTGATGGCTTGTGCTTGGACCAATTGCACAGCCCAATGGGCCTGAGCATGCAAATGACAGAGTAATAGGAGTAGCAATGTTGGTTTGGAAACCTATCAACTAAAGCTTTTGGTTTAAAGAAAGGTTGGCTATTGCTGATAATTAATACAGTTTTTGAGCTTGCTTAAATATTGATGTCAATCACTATATTTAGGACAAAATTAAAGAGAGAGAAATAGAATGACTAAAGAAGCCCAGGTTCAAGCTCAGCCATCATGCCAAAATAACATTGCCATCTAAATTCAGATTTTATTATAACCCGTTTTCAATTCTCACGTGTTCCCTGTACCCCTTAAATATACCCTAAACATAAGATGAAAGATGTTCTCATCTAAGAAACAGAAGAAAAAAGAGTAAGTTAAAAGCAAATCATAAAGGAAAAAGCTCTTTTTCTAACTTTAAAATCACAAGCAGCCATAAAAATAAATAAATGAAAAAAGGCTACGGATGTACCTTTTGGACTTCCCCATCAAGCCAGCCTAATGTCAATCGCTTGTTTTTAAAAGCAACAACTGCTGTTATTGAGTGCTCATCTTCACTTTCTACATTCAACTCACTAGTCTTTGATAATATTTCTTGGACCCTGCGCATGGTCTACAACCTAATTTAGTTCACCCCATTTTCTAAAATCAAAGAGGAGTTGGCCACCATATTGTCCTCTGTAATGCTAAATAGGATTAAATATCATTGCATGACATTGAAGATAAAAAAAAAAAAAATTCACACCTGTATGCATGAATTCAGGCATACATTTATATACATTCATTATGTATTATCCTTTATTCAATATTCTATCATTCCAAGCTGCCAGTTTCAAGTGTAACAAATCTTTTCATGATCATCTATGCTTATGGTTTCCCCTTTTCAGATTGAGTATAATTTTTCTCATTAACAGAATATACTATCTAATCAAGTAATAATAATCTAGGGTGTCATTTGAATTTATAGAACAAATGGAAGGGAAACTGCTAACCCTATTTTTTGAAAACAACTGTTAAATCATACCGAAGTTGATAAATTTCCTTCCAGAGAAACTGCATCATGTATAAATCAAATACAGACAAAAATATCCTCATTTTAAATGCTAATGAAACAATTTAATTTTCCATGGTTTTAACTGTCAAAAGGAGGTTGAAAAAAACGCTGGGGCAAATAATGCAACAGGAAAAGATATGAAGAGAACTGAACATATGAAACATAATCTAGTCCACAGAAGCTTACTTCTCGCATACTATCAAGTTCCGGACCCAGCCTTCCAGCTAGGATGGCACAATACCAGGTCAAGATATCACGCCCAGCACGAGAATAGCCACGAGCATCACAACCTAGTTCCTCTGATGTCCAACTCCTTAATTGAGGAAGCTCTAAAAAGAAACGACGAGACATAAAGCCATTTCTTAAGGAAAGAAAAACAAGAAAAAGATTGCTCTATAAAAACTTGGCAAGTATTGCTAAGATCAGTCAAGTTATTCTGCATTCACACCTAAGAAACAAGAAGTAGCATTTATAAAATTAAAATAAACTCAGTGAAAAAACAGTATGATGCTTGCACGAACTGAGAGGACAATTGTGTAACATTTTCAACCAGAAATTGGATAATCAGCCAGGTTCCTTTGTTTTCCTTTCCACTTACAAACTAACCGCAGCATTATCATGTTCCATGCAGGCTTTAAGCAAGCAATTTTCCAACATTTCAGCACATGCTTAAAATTTATACTGAAGATGATATCTATATGAAACATTTTATCTGCTAAGTAGTGGCAGAAATCAGTCAGAGCACGACTTGCAATTTTTTCATTAAAGCCACAATTTCTATTCTGATTTTACCATCAAAGTTGAAGAGAATAGTAATCTTAGTACCAAGTATTTAAGTAATGAAACTAAGCAGCTCATTCATCCATTTAGCACTTTAAATGAATCCAATACTTTCCTCCCTTAAGAGATAGAACTACAAGCACTTTTATTACCTAATGCAGAACAAGTTTCTGAACATTCTCTAATAACTATTGCTAAAGATTATGTTCCTGATGGATCACAAAGCTTTGCTGAGATACATGCCAAATCACTGTGCATCTTGACTTTCTACAACATGCCGTTAAGACAATCAAATTAAATTCACAATCAGTTTGGAAAACAGAATCCATTCTACTACCCAGCTATCTTGTGTGAACCAGTAACAACACTGTGTAACCTGAAACCACTGGCTTGTGGTCCTTAGATGATGCATATAGGATAATATGCTTGGATATTATAAAGCTCCATATTAAAAAAATCTACAGATTGGGAATGTATTGACTAGTCCAGTACCCGTGAGTTTCAATACCCTGCATAGTTATATTCTTGAGGCTTTGACTTATCTATTCTTAGAATGACAATAAGAACATAAAATGGATGAAGCCACTATGGACGAAGCACATTCTTATCAACAAGTGGCATTACTGTTGCAGTGGGTAATTTAAGTACTTGTAATTAAGTGATCCAACCAAATTATACCATTAGTAAATAGTAGAAACAAAGCCATATTTTGCCCAAAAAAGGTTATATTTGATTGAGAAGTAAAAGCATGCATTTTGTCCTATTAAAATTAAATTTTATTTTCCAATTCTTCAAAATATTTGCTTTTATATCCAAAGATTCTCAAGTATTAACCGGTATAAGAAATCTTCAGATATACCTTGCTGTTTGTTCTGTTCCAAGACATCTAAAAACCATGAATCATTCACTGATCCTGCAAATAGTATTCACAGCTCAGCTTAGTACAAGAACCACAGCAATTAAATTGAAGTTCTATAGGCATCAAGAACTAATAAGAAATAGAATACATATGCAGTAACATGCCATGATACACTAGAGGTTTTACACCCGGATCTTTCAAGAACACCAAAGCAGGTGCAGACTCCACTCCAAACCTGTTATTAGTTGTAAAAATCTGTCATCCATAGAAAATGAAAGAAGACTAAAACTCAAGGATTGCAATATAAAATAAACAATCAAAGATCAATAGGTACACTTAAATTACATACATGTAACTATATATGAGATTCTTCTCTAATTAATATAGAAACCCAGCACATAAGAGAAGAAAAAACTACATACGTGGTCCACCAAATGGAAAATTCCTCTTTGCGCCACAGGACACAGGCAAAAGTGGCATAATTCCAATAATTTTTTGCAGCTTGTCGCATTACAGGAGTTGCACGCTCCCCTGTTTTTGAGAAGAAAATCACTTTTACCTGAGTCAGAAGCAAGAAACAATCCACTATTAACATGGGATACATGCAAATCAAAGGGAAGTTAATAAAATGGAAGAGTATTCAATATTCAAAATGTTCAAATGTAATATTTATATTAAAATAAAATGAAGAAAAAAAAAACAGAACATTGAGGATAAGTGTGCCATTGAAACATCATAACATGTCATAGAATATAAGCAGTGACATTTACATAAGAAATGACTAGTAAAATGTATCAGAACCAAGTACTAATTGATAGGCCAACTGCACATACTCTGATGAAAATTTTCCATGGATAGGCAATTATATCATGTTAATTTATGCTATGCCAATAATCTGAAAATAAAAAAGGCTCTAAAAAACTAACGAAATGACATTATAATCAATGTTACAGGTTAATTAAAAATTTTATAGAAAGCTTTCAAAAAAATGTTAAAATGTAATGGAACAATACATAATACAAAATGGAATAACCCCTAATCTTATTCAAGGAGTAAGATCATTAAAAAGTATTGAAGGTGAAAACCATTACACACGCATTCCACTTGAACAATTTGAACAAGAAAATCTGTTGAATAAGAAAAATTCTCTATATTTAAGTCCTTTATGTGAATAAAACTGCAACATGAATTATCTTACTAAATAACCAAAACCCAAACTACTTTGACATACAAAGACTAATAAACTGAAAAAGGCAATAAAAAAATGTTTAAAGTCATGAAACACAAACTATAACAATAAACAGAGGGAAAAAAAAACAACATAAAAGCAGTCTGGTACTAAGATAAGATCTTCTGTTAAACTAATACAAAAATAATAATAATAAAAAAACTTGATTCATACTACTCTCTCCATTTCAAATTGAATGCCCAAGTTGAACTCTTGATGTGCCGTTTAAGAAAAAAACTTTGGTTTTGAGGTTTAATCAACGAAATATTGATATTTAATAGTATAATTTGTAATGCAAAAAGTTTTGGGTGAAATAAACAAACTCCGTAGATGAAATAGGAAAGGACACAAGCCCCCTCAAGAATGGAAAAGCTACTTTACCCCCTAGGAAGTTAGTCAATCAGTTAATCTTAATTAGCCTAATCCTTTTTTTCCTTTTTACAAATTAAACCTACTTTAAGTTTTAATTTTTTAATTTATTTTAATAATTTTTTAAATTTATTCTAATAATTCAAAGTTAAAAACTTAAACTAAAATTAAATCTAAACTTAAACTTAAACTTAAACTAAAATTAAATCTAAAAAGAAAAAGCCTAATAATTAAAAAGGAATCAAGTCCCTCTTTTCCTTATGAACAAAAAACACAAAAACCTCTCTTTCTCTGGAATGGAATCCAATCTTCCTTGTGCAACTCCTTTCATCTCCCCCAACAGAACAAAGCCTACATTCAATTCATTTAATTTTCAGAATAACAACAGGGCCCCCATTAAAGTTTCCTCTCATTTTTTGAGTCTGTCTCCCACGACAGAACAAAACCCAATCTTCTTGGTCTTGTTGGGTATGGAAGTACAGCATACAAGCTGTAAATATTTGTTTCTGATATGTTCTTTTCCTAGTGACAGACAGATTATTTATTTTCAGCAATAGATTTTCAAGTGAAATATGCACATATATAGGTTCAGAACCAAGATTATTGATTGTTGATTCCTTTGTTTATTCCTCTGGTGCACATGATTGATGAAGCCCACCACAGAAAGAAAATAAGTTGCACATGGGAGATTGGGTTTGAAAGAGAGATTTTTGGGTTTTTTGGTCTATCGTGGGAAAGGAGGGGGACTTGATTTTAACTAACATTTTTTCCTTTTGTTATCATAAAAGTTTTTAGTTTAAAATTTTGACTTTTAATTATTAGGATAAATTAAAAAGTAAGACAAAAAGCGAGTTTAATTTGGAAAAAAAAAAAAAGAGATTAGATTAACTTGAAAATATAACTAAATAAAGATAAGAGTTTGACTAACTCCATTAACAGTCAAGGGGGTAATAGAGCTTTTCAAACAAGAGGGGTGTTTGTGTCCTTTTCTATTTTATCTAGGGTGGTTTGTGTATTCCACCCAAAAAGTTCTTTAAAAATAGAATATAGAAAAAAAAAGAAATTTAGATGTTTAAACAAAGAAAGATGACACAATATTGGAACATTCCACAGCAGAAAGGCAGACATTCAATTTAGAACAAAGGGAGTTGCACAAATAGACTGACAAACAAATCATGAGAGACTTAAGGAAATAAAATCATGTTGACAATATTATAGAGTGATGAATACTGGAACTGGAAAAAAGAAAGAAAAAGTCATACCTTATGGGGACTGCTTTTTGCCAGAAACCTTGGTCCCTGATATTAAAAAAAAAATCATTTTCTCCAATAGTTGGAAGAAGTTGATACAAAAGTAGTAAGACACAAACAAGACAAGGTTAATAGAACTCAAAAAGCAAATTATAACAATAACTCAAAAATCTAAAAGTAAAAAAAAAAAAATGGATGAACATTATTGTTTTGACAGTGATATGAGTTAGATACCCTGAAATATGGTAGGGCATTTAGTATGCCAAGTGTAATACCAAATTTGACCTTAATGAAATGTCAAAATGAATGCATAATTTCGTAACTATTCTTTTCATTGGCTTCAAATGGATAAGATTAAAAAGTTATTTCCGCATTTATTTAACAAGAATAAAAGCCGGACATGGAAATAGCAATAAACAATGGTTATGATTAAACAAGTAAAGCTTATCAAGAGAACGACAGATACATTCAGACAATTCATCCTACTGATGCATTCAAATGGAACAGATTATACTTGCAAAAAGATGAGAATTGTTTTTGTTTTTCCTTCCTTATAGGAACATATTATGCAGGTGATATCAGAAAATATCTTTATTTAAGAAAACTTCAATGACAATCAAATTTGAACCATGATTTAGAATTGTATTTAGCAATAGTAAAAAAACCTTAATTAAGAATAAAAAGTCAAGTGACAACTTCACGAAGAGATGCTATACATTACCAATGACTCCTTTGAATAGTAAAAGATGCGAGGCAAACTAAGTACAGCCATTGCAAACCAATCTGTAACTGCATCAACAGAGAGCTCTCCCTCAAACCTATACATTAGAATCAATTTAAGATATCATTACAGTATTAAAAAATTCTAACAAGTACGTAATACATTCAATTACAGTAAATGGGAGATATGATCTGGTAAAATGTATAACATACACGTAAATACAAAGACATTGCTTTTCACAATATAAAATAAACTGCACTTCAAGTATTTTGAATTTATTTTAGTAGTATCTATCTTTTTTTTTGTTTTTTTACTTTAAATTCAAACCTCAAATGCAACTTTACCTGATAAGACAGTCTGAAGTTTTACACCCGGATGGGAAAGCAACCAGTGAAGGAAGGCCTGGATACATTATTATTAAGTTAAACAAAAAATAAATGTGCTTGGTCACGCTGAAGCTAAATTTTCAAAAACAAATGACAACAGCAGTTGGAGTTGTCAGTGGCATAGCATCTACTAGGAAGGTGAAGACAAGTATGTTGAAAACAATTCAACAAGTTCCTATAGAAACATAAATTGTTTCCAGTTGGAAAATACAATGTGAAATCCTCAACCATTTAGCTGCTTCATAGCCCCTCCATGTTAATTGCTGGAATAATTGACAGCACAGTAGTGGGAATTACATCACCTTCAAGCATTATAAAACAGTGACACTGTCATTCAGGATTGCTAGGTATAACTTATAAGACATACATACAGCTGGTATTAAAACATCCATCTGCTTTCAATTAGACAACTTAAATACAAGCCCATGATCCAGCTTTCATAAACAGTTTTCTACTAGTTTCAGAGTGACAACAACAAGGACGCCATTGACAATTTAGTGTCAGTCAACCTGAAGTCAGTGATACGGTAGAAGGGTTTGATTAGATTTGACAACTTTAACATAAATAAGTTCATAGCCTTCGATGCAAAAAATCATGCAAAATTATACTTATCTAACTATTTCTACCAGTTAGGGGAATCCCTCTATAATCCAGTAAATTGTTTTAAGAGTTAATAGCAGAAACAATGATAGGGAGTAGAGCTATACATTAGCTGCTGGTTATATGAATGATCATAATACCACTAACCATTCTTGAAGAAAAACTGGCCCGTTGGCTTTCTCTCAGCAAGGTAGGCTGTGATTTGGACCTTACCAAGTTCTACCATACCAATGCTTGCAACCCCATTCAATAAAGCAGCTGAATATAAAGAGAAGACATAATTCATTAAAATATTAAAGCATTGACCATGATTTGAATAAAGATTTCTGAACAATTATACTACCAGAGAAAGCATCCACTAACACAAATAAAACTGCTGCATTCTGTTTTCAATGTAATATCTTCTTTTTTTTTCTTTTCTTTTTGCCTTTCTATAGAGAAATAAAGAGACAAAAGAAGCTTGTAATCAGAAAAATAAAGTGAAATATACACTATGTCCTAAAAAAAGAGCACATATATACATGTTTCTACATATTGGATTATGTGCCAATTCTAGTCCCCCTTCCTCATTGATAGCACCTAAAAATATAGCAATTTTACTAGTCCAAATTGGCGCAAACTTTTAAATTTTGTTCAAGTTTTGGTGCCTTAATGCTGTTTTCTTGCATTTTAGGGTTTAAAGCCAATAGATGAGAAAAACATGCAATCCATGCATGCAAGGGAGCATTCGGCCATGCAAAACCAAAGAATAGCCGAACCCTATTGGTCCAAAGACACTCGCATGTATTCGGTCAAAGCAAGATTTAAGAGGATTCCTTGAATTTCACTTGCATTAGGACTTGTTCATATGGCCAAGAGAGGAATTTGCATCCATGAAGGACTTCTACACCATTCAGTCAATTCAAAAATAAGAGAAGATAAAGCTCAGTTGGATAATTTTGCAAGCACAAGGACCTTTTCATTCTTTATACCATTCGGCCATATCTAGTTCCAAGAAGACTTCAAGCAATAGCAAGCTCACGTGGACTCTACACTATTCGACCAAGGGTGTTTGTATCCCACCATGACTCTTGTGCTCAACCCTTGAAGAGTTGTGATGGAGGAAGAATTCTAGCAAAAGCAATCTCAAGATAATGCACAATAACTCAAATAATCTTGAATTAAAATTCAAGCCCTAGCCGAACCTACCAAGAAGTTTGAATCAAGTTGGACTTCAAGACTTCAAGATGGATCACACGGCTGAGATTGCTCCCCAAGACTCCCATTCGGCTATACTTCTTCAAGAAACAAGAATCCCATTCGGTCATGGTACTTTGAAGATGAAGATTAAGCTTGATCCTTTAGCATTTGATGTAACTTCAAACTCTTGTAATCTTATCTCCTTTGGCGGAAACCCCCTCTATAAACAAGGAGGCCATTCTTACTTGTTTCATCATCCTTATCAACCCTCATCTCTCACTTCTCACTTCTCACTTCACTTCACTCTTTCTTTTCTTAGTTCTTTTCTTTAGTTTTAGTTATTGGCTTAGGTGATAGATTTGCCAATAACAAAAGATTGTTTCTTTAATTCTTTTCTTTAAACCCAAGAAGTATTTATTTTCCAAGATCTCTTTTTCCTTTTACTTTTGGTTTCAAGCTTTGTTTTCTACTTCCATGTTTTCGGCATTCACATTCTCCTACTCTATTTTCATGCAACCTTTACTCTTTAAATTTTCTTTTTATGCAATACTAGTTTTGACTACCAGTTCTTTTTTGCTCTGCAAATTTAAGTTTATGCAATCATTGTATCAAGTCTGCTCTTTTATACTACAAGTATTTGGCTGCCACAAGATTTCTTTATTTTGAAGTCTTTAGATCTAGTTTTGGCACTCATCTGTAACTTACCAAGTGACAGTTGGATAAGTGAGATCAAAGCCAACATTACTCTTGCTTTTCTTATTTTGCAATCAACCCTAAAGTTTCATTTGTTTAGATATAGGAGTTTAAGATTTCAACTTTGGTACTTGAGAACTACCCAATAATTACAATCTATAATCCCTTAAGAGACGATACTGGAATACTTCCATTTTATCACTTGATCTGTGCACTTGCAAGTTATACAAAAAGCAGCAATCACTCATGCATAAAATTTTTTGTAGAAGTTAGAAAGAAAATAAACTTGTGTAGTTTGATAACCAGAATCCCAAATAAGCCTACAAAGTAATTATGGATTCACTTTTCAATATAAATGTCATGCATTATTGGTATTTTCAGAAAATGTTGAGAATGGGAATATCTTACTGCAGAAACAATTACAACAATCAACAAAGCAAATTAATATTTATATCAGGTCATCTCCAAACAGCTCCTATTAACTGTACAAACTTATAAAAACATATATCATTTTAGCAACGACAATAATAATAATAACCCACGATTTATCCAATATCTTGTTTGTAGTGACAGACCAAACAGTTTCTATAATACATCTTAGTACTATAAAAATAAGCACTTACCTTTCAACATTGAGCCTTTTAAATTATTAAACAACATCAAATTCAGTTAACCTTCATCCTAACTTGATTGGAAATGCATTTTTTTTAATACATGAGTTGAAAATCAATATATTTAATCATATTACAATCTATATTTATCATAGTTGCCAAACAAGTCGACAAGCTATTAAAAATAATGTGAACAATGAAGTTCATAGGTAATTAAGAGCAGTAAAGTACACTTTTTGACATACAAACAAATATTCTTTACTCGATCTCAAACTTTCAGCACAAGAAAAACATACCAATTCTTTTCCAAGAATTGGCAAATTGAGCGCAGTGATTGCTGCCAGATGAATACACCTAAATGCAAATCAAAGGTTAAAGTTTATTATGATTTAGTAAATCATTATAACAAAAAGATTGCAGCTAATCCATGCTAAAATTGCATTAGGCGCTAACTAGTAATAATAAAACTGAATATCCATATTCCACAAGGAAACAGAACACACATTCACCAATGTTAAGGCTGAGACCAATTCTACAGTTTATGCCTCAACTTTTGCAATGAAATATCAGTAGGTAAATATTATACACTCACATAGAAAAGGGACTTAGCCCCTGTTTGCCCGGCTTCTAGAACGTCTTTATTTCGAAAAGCTTAGGCCAAACAAGGTTTTGGAGAAAGAACTTTTTAGCCAGTTAATTTTAAAGAAGGCCAGCAATGAGAGTTCAAAGCCATTAAGTAATATTTCACTGAAAAAATAAAATTCTTAATTATTTTAGATAACTGCAAATAATTTCCATCTGACAGTTCTTCTCAAAAAGCTCTATTTCCACAATACCTTTTACTGAAGTTACAATCATGACAAACAAACTATTAATTTACAGGGAAGGGAAGACAGGGCATCACTTCAGCAGTAGTAATGAAAAGAGGTTTGGTTGGTCTTAGTCATGCATATTTGAAGAAAAAAGCATTCAAAACATATGATTCAACTAGTTTATGAAAATGACATAGTCAAGTTGTTCGAGCATGTCATAAAAATACTAAAATCTAGAAAATGATATTAATCCATCAAGTTACAATTCAAAAGCACTGCTAGTAGCATTATGGATGTGTAAAATATCAATGTTAAAGGACAGCAGTAAAATCAATGTTGAGTTGCCTTGTCATTAGTTCAACAATGAGCAGACTTTTTAAAGGTTCTCAAAATTTGAAAGCAAGGCCCCTCTCCCTACTTTTTTTTTGGAATAACTACTAGAGCCATAAGAAAGGAAACCGAGACTCCTATATGACATGTCAATGCATTAATGTGTTCTTTAGAAAGCAGAGAATGTATTTTTGATGCTAAAAAAGAGTTAAAATCTTGGTAGCACATAGTTACCATGGCCAACACTTTATCTGAGAATAAGAGTTAGTTGACTCAACTTCAATTAAACATGGACCAATCCTAGGTTAGCCCCCCCCCCCCCTCTCTCTCTCTCTCTCTCTCTCTCTCTCTGTGAAGTTTGAATTTGAACTGCTGCAGATGAAATCTTAGTTTTCTCCACTGAACAAAGAGATTGTTTAAACTAGCTTTAGGAGGAAAGCAATGTAACCTATCTGTTTGACTACCTCAACAGTGATATTTGACTACAGAATGCATTTTTCTTGGGAAATTTTGGATTAGAGAAAGCAAAGAAATTATAGACAAGAAATGTGGAAATCTGATTAAAGTAGCAATGCTTGCAAACATATATTGGTCAATGGTTGTACCTGAAGTAACCATGGTTTGGAATCTTGAAACATAGACTGAAAATCCTTTGAAGTAATCACATTAAAAGCATCATCTCCAGTATCTGCAGGAAGTGTCCATTCATCACTTTCATATAAATCTTCTTAAAGCTAGACTTGAAATGAACGTTTATACCATGAAAAAATCAAACAAAAGGTCAAGATTCAGAATTTCACTACCAGAAGCATCAGCATGCAGTAGTGGCAGCTCTATGTTAGAGAACTTTTCCCCTGCATATTGCTGACCAACTTTTTCAATAAGATGCTGCAGACCATGGGAATAAAACCCTTCAATAAAAAAATGCAAAGCCCAGTATAGAATTCTCTCTCTCTTTCTCTCTCTTGGAGATCAGAGACAGGAGATAAAACTACAGAAGTCTAGTACACTGCAATGAAATACTTACAAGTTGCTCATCAATTCCAAATACATCAAAATTCCTTTTCCATATGGGGTTTGTCAGAAGCTCATATGCATATCGAATCTGCAAGGAGATAAACACCATCTACTCACTTATTGGGTTCAGATATCATTTGAACTCAGCATCTTAAAAAACATGGCCTATTATGTTCACTTAGCTAAGGCTAAATGTAACATCATCTAATTGCAAAGGATAAACTTTAGGCTACATTTGATTGTTGCTTTCTCTGCTTGATTGTTGCTTCTTAGAAAATGTTACTTGAATGCAAAAGCAAATGGTTGAAAGTAAAATCACAGTAATTGATTAAAATTGATTGAATGGCTAAACTGCAACACTAATTCTAGCATAATTGTTCCTTAATAAAGTTTTTTAAAAAAAGGCATTTTGGTCTCCAGAAAAAAAAGCAATACTTACTTTCAATTCTTCAAAAATATTAGTGTTTGCTTTCCTATGATATGCAATTTTCGCGTTTTTACTTCTGAAAAGCAAGAAGTAAAGCAGCAAACAAAGTAGCTCAACTATTGATAATCCAAAATGCCAAGAGTAATAAATTTTACTAAAAGAACTAGATTATTTTTATTTTTATTTTATTTTTTTTGCAGAAGCAAACAAGTATTGAAGAATGAAGAAAATTAAAACTAACCTTGATAAACTCAGTAGTAGTAGGAGCTTCCAGTCCTGAACTCCTGAAACGATCACGTTTTAAGACATTTAACAAGAAGATCAACAAATTAAACAAATTTCTTAATCTTTTTATTTTTTTTAAATCGTAAAAAATAGAAAGAATTACCACTTAGATTCAAGATTCTCGTACGCCTCTTTCACTGCTTCTATTGAACTATATGTCTTAATTCCCAAAACTGCCATACATCAAAAGGAATCAATATCCATAGTAGTTTTCTTTAAAAAAAAATAATGATCCAGCAACTACAAGTATTTTTCTACGCACAATATATGTATATGAACTCGATTATACACATTGGGACTAACCATCGTAATGAGAAGGGGGAAAGGAGTGAGGGAGAAGAATGAGCTGATATAACATGGCGAGAGAGAAGAGAATCAGAGGCAGTGCGTAGGCTTTGATTTTCGCTGCAAAATCTCCGGCCATTGCTCAATTTCGCCGGCGATATCTTGGTTCGTTGGAGATAGACTGAGCCGAGGGTTATTTTAAATGGGGATTTTTAATTCGGCGATTACGATGTAAATTGTGAAATATAACACGTGGTGTACATTCATTGGCTATACAAAAAAGATTGCTGTTAAAGCAGATTTCTTTACCATATTAAATCTTACATTCCCTTTTTTAGGCTTGTTGTAGTTTAAAGATCAACAGATTGTTAGATTTATTGCTAAGTAATATTAGGTTTAAGCAAGTCTACTATTTTTTTCCAAATATTTATATTTTTTATCATATATAATAAATTTAAAATTATGATTTATTAATATATAGATAAAAAATAAATATAAGCTTTTAAACTTTTATTACACGAAAATAAATCTAAAATCTTTCATAAATTTTCAACATTACATAAAATATTTATTCAATTAAATGGTATTAAGGATCATTTATATTAAATAATTGATATCTTATATGATAGATGACATGTAAAATAATTGATATTATTTTTTTTAAAAAAGAAAAAGCTATCAAATTAGGATCTTCGTGATAGCAATGTATTAATTAAATTTTTTATTAAAATGATTTGAACACTAATCTCAAAATGATGCCATATACACATTTTAAGAATTTTAAATAACTTAATAATTGTATTTTCATTAATTTTAAAAAATAATAAATAATAAAAAAATTTTATTTTTTCTCTATTCCTCCACAACAAGAATTTACTAGTAAAAATTTAATAACCGGATTAAAACAAACAAAAATGCGGATTAGTTTTTTACCTTAAAAAACAATATTTTAGGGTGCTTGTTTGCCTTAAAAATTGATACACCAATTACCTTATCAATATTGAGCTTAAGGTAGCCCAAAGCCTAAGGGCTGAGACCGCCTTTGGAAAGTTTTTTTCGAGCTAGGCCTACAATTATGTGGCCCAAATTAACCCACTAGCTTTAGGGACGATGGGCTTTTCAGCTAGTGCATTGTTGAAATAAATTTGATATTTTGTATATTCATTTATTTATTTTGTGTATCAAACATAACAAATTAAAAATAAAAATTATTATATTATAATTCATATTGATACATCAAACATAAAATTTTTTATTTTTATTAAATTTATATATAATTTTTATTAAAATTTTAAATTATATCATTTATATATATTTTTGGATTTATTTTTTTACTATATTATTTTTAAAATTATCGTATTTAAATTAAAATCCCTTAGACAAATTTTTATTTTTTTAATTTTGTATTTTTATATTAAAATCACATTCATATCATCTTGATTGATTTAAATTCTTTGACAACAAGATGACAAGTAAGTGTACTCGATTCTTTGGAAAAAGTTGGGAATTTGGAATAATAGATCTTATCTATTTCGGTATTAGATCACAAAAGAAAAAGTTAAATAGATTCAAGTAAGCTCATTTTTTGTATGACAACAATCATACCTTACCCACCATTATTTTTAATTTAATTTTAATTAAAAATATATAAATATAAAAATATTATTATAAAATTTAATATTTTAATGATAAAACTTAATTAAAATGAGCTTTAATAGAGGGGCTGAACTGAGTATTGAGGAAGCAAATTCGAAATGTTAGTTTGATTCGATTTATAAACATCTATGATATAGAGTATTGCTTAACTTATTATTGGTCAATCTAATGCTATAATTTTCTTCTTTTGAGAGTGGGATATAATACTTTTATAAAAGTTTAATTATAAAATTATATGTATAAGTAGAAATTATAATCATAATCAAATTATATTTATTTTTATGTTCATTGGATTGGCAATCCTCGGTGTTTGATTGTTTTGTTAACAAATTAGCGTTTGGCGTCTAAAGGAAAGTGCTTGGATAGTTCTCTTTAGTTGTGTGGATGCTCGTGATGGGCTTGAGAATAATTTAATACTAATTTATTAGTTTTTTTAAGCAACGAAAAAATTATAGATCTAGAAACACCCGAACATTTGGATTAAACGTTGACGAATGATCTCTCTATTCTTTAAGTAATAATAATAATAAAGGAATTAAAAGCCTAGGAAAATATTTTCGATAGTGTGATCATGCATACACTTGAAGAATTAAAGTGTGTTTTATAACATGATTACTTAAGATAAATCTCAACTCTTTTATAAGATACAAATTTGAAAGCTTCTAATTAAAAATTTTAAGTTTCAACTTATTAATATAATTTAGGGTATATATTCTCTTTGGAAGACATTTTAATTCATCTTATTATTTTTTGTTAAAAAAATGCAATTTGAGGATAAGCGAAGGGGTAGATGTTGAAATTTGAATTTTATATCCATTGAATATAACATTTTAAATGTAACTATATAAATTAACTGTTAAATTCCCAATTTATTCTATTGGTTATTTATAAATAAATATTGACATTGTTTATTTGAATTGATGAGTTATTAAGGGCAAGAAAATTACCACTTGCAATTAATTACACAAGTATAGTCAGTGGATCTTAATTAGATAATAATTAATATATATCTTCTATCATAAATAACGTGAACGAATAAAAAAAGTGTATGATCATATTATTATATATATAAATAACTTAATTATAATCCTATCACCTATAATTTTTTTTTATATTTCTGGCCTCCTACCAAAAAGAAGAATGATTGAGTGACAAGTGTGAAGTTTCTTGCATCTTCCAAGCCAGGCTTAGACTAATTACTACTCATAGTTAAGTTCAAAAATTATTTTAGTAAACAGTAACAGATCATATTCTTAAAAGTTAAGTTAAAAAATAACAATTGCTTGTTGTAAACATTTCAAAAAAAAAAATTGAACAATTGTTGTCTATGGAATAAAGTGCAGAAAGTTTTTTTCCCTTGATGCATGATTTAGATAATAATACAGCTTCATTACCTCATAGTACCCCTCATGCATGTGGACCAAAAATTTCTGTTCTTTCCAATATATTCAAGGAATATAAAAAAAGTCCGATGGTTCTAGTTCATTTTCTAAATAGTTTGAGTTATAAAATAACGGAGATCCTGGAGTATCAAAGATCATATCGTCCATATTTATGTCGCCGGCTGAAAGTCCACCATCACAGGTAGTTGTTGTAGTAACACTATGATCAACTTGGATTGGTCCTGGTGGAATGTTGTTGCGGTTTTGCCAATTGTGAAGTTCATCGATGCAATGCAATGAAGCGAATCTGGAAGCCATGTTGTTTAAAACTCGAGACGAAGAACTCGAACAAGACCTTGCACGTTCAGATCCATTACCCTCTAGGATGCTCAATGCATCAGATAGAGGATACTCGATGTTAGTATCAACACTAACACCACCGTCATCATCGGCGTTTCCGTGATCTGCTGACACCGGAGAAAGTACTATATTCAACAAATCTAAGTAATTTAAAGGTGTTGTGAGTGGATCAGAAACATTATCCAGCCAATAATCTGATGTTTCTGATGTTACTGTTGCATTATTTCCCTGACAAGTTGATGTAGGGTGGCAAATTGTAGCAGTGGAACTTTCACTATTGGCACCACCATCGCTAGTAGTACTGGCAAATGACATTGGTTGCAATCTTTGACAAACTCTTAGGGGATCAAGATCAACACATTGTAATGTCTTGACCCTAGTGGCTAACTTATTGAGCAGCAGAGCTGAAACTGAGATAGACCTTGATGATGTTGGCTGTTGCGGTGTGGGTTCAGATTCTTTTACTGTTGCATTTTCTTCATGAATGATCATGGGGTCGGTATTGAGCACGATAGGGTTAGGATTTTCACTGGATGAGGCTCCAGGAGTGGTGCCAAGAGGCTTGTGAGTCATCGGATCTATACCCATATTAGCTAAGCGTTTCTTGAGATGAGCATTCCAATAGTTCTTTATCTCATTGTCTGTTCTCTTTGGTAAGTACCTGGCTATTTCTGCCCACCTTGAAGAAAAAAAAAATACATACGTGAGATTGATCATGACAACAACCCATAAAACCAACCATTTTAATATTTCTATGTTGTCAATGAAAAGCTTTGCTGTCACCTGTTGCCTAGTGCAGCATGAAGTTCAATGATGGTTTGAGCTTCCTCCGAGGTGAAGTCTCCTCTCTTAACGCCAGGTCTCAGATAATTTACCCATCTCAGTCTACAGCTCTTCCCACATCTTCGAAGACCTGAAAATCAACAAGGAAACATGATCACTTTTCATAAAATAAAGACAATTGATGCATCAAGTCATGGAAGAAAAAAAACTGAAAAGACCTAACCAGCTTTCTGGGGCAGGTAACGCCAACCTCCTTCACCATATTTTTGTATGTAAGCGATGAGCTTCTGGTCTTCTTCAGCTGTCCAGGCTCCTCTCTTCAAACTTTCTTCACTGTATAATGAAGTCCTTCCCATTCTGATAAAACAAATTAAGGTGTTTTATATGACAAAATCAATAACATAAATTCTCAATTTCTTAATTGTTAGTTGAAATTTGGAAATGCTTCCTGGGAAAGAGAATCAGTGATGGAAAGAGTTTTACACCAATGTTGGCTAGCTTTGCCTTCCGATAGAGTTGAGAGACAGTTGCGAGTTGTTACTGAAGAGACAGAACTACAAGGAAACCGTTTATATAGAAACTAGAAATAAAGATAAGTGCTTGTGCCAACAGCCGCGTCTCGTCATTTGTTGGTCTAATACCAAACTTCTAGTTTCAAGTACCAAAATTCAAATCTTACTAGTCTCATTTATAAAAATAAATAAATAAAAAAAAAAGTGCAGGTGATACCCAGCATATTCTAAGGTCCATAATATGCATCTGGAAGACCATGTTTTTATATGCTGTTCCAAATGTGTCAGTCTCAATATAGTTTAGAGCCCTTCAACATTTCCTTTTTCGTTATCATCTTCATTATTTCTTTTTTTTTTTTTTGGGTATATATGGATAGTACATGAAGAGCAAGGATTTCAACTTTGGTCCCACGTAACAGTCATTTAGTCAAATTTTAGTTTATATTTGATGTATATAGCTCGACCATTGATGATCAAGAAATTATATATAGCTTGTCATCATATTGCAAAAATTTCATTTATGAATATCTATGATAATTTTGATCAAGCTGTGTGGATCATGATCATATATACTTAATTTATTAACTATATATATATATATATATAAGCATAATGTGTCCTTCTGAACCTAAAATGGTATTTGAATTCTCAGTTAGAACATTAAATAATTGATTAGATATATAGACAACTTGAGACTCATTTACAATATGAGAGCATTATATTATGCGTTACTTAAATTTGTCAAAGAGTTACGTCATCAAATATTAATTATTTTGTAATTAAAAATTAATTAATATTTAATTAAAATGCATAATCCTAATTCATCAAAATTAACCATGAACATTTCCATTCTTACAATATTATATGACCTTTATTTGCTAAAAGATCAATTAACAAAAATAAAAACTAAGAATATGATTTAACATTATAAAATTCAAAAATTCTACAAAACTCCTCAATAATTTTAAATTTAATTTACTTAAAACTATTACATTATTGGTTGTCTTTATAAATTAAGGTATCAAAAATAAATTTATTATTTGTCATACCAAACAAGAAAACCATAATAGAAACTGTTTCTATACAAGGCATCCGCAATACAAGCACGATTCATATTTCAAATTTTATCCGACATCTCGAATCCATCTCTATCAAAAGAGTGACGTCATATCTCAAAATCATTCGGCAATTTATATATTAATATTATGTAAAATATTAAAATTCGTACATTCGTATTATATTTTACACGAAAATTATATATCATAATTTATATTAATATAAAAATATAAAATATATATTTTATTTTATTTAATCTATATATAATTATTTTTAAAATTTTAAATCAAATTATTTTTGTATCTCTTTTTTATATCATATTTGTATCATTTTACTTTATCATATTTTAAATTATCATATATTAATTTCTTATCCATACACCAACCCTTATTTCAATTATTTAATAATTAAAAAAACTCATTTTTTTAAATCATAAAAAAATTATAAACGACAGTTCCTTAAAACATCGCCAATTGTCCAAATCTCGGGATAAGACATAAGTTTGAACAGTTTAATTAGGCACAAGATTTTAAGTAAAAGAAATATTACTTCAACAACCGTACAAGCAGATGCTTGGCCACTTGCTAAAATAGAAACAAAAGAGAATTGCTTTTTCAGTAAAATTTGACTGTTAGGTTGTTTTTATTTTATTTTATATCGTGATCCTTTGTCTTTTATTTACGGTGTGTTGATGGGGTAAAATATTGAATTGCCACCTTACTTAAAAAATTCTTATCCCACCTCAATTTTTAGGCGGTAAGATTATTTATTTATGCCATACATTAAAGTTATTTCTTGAAAAATTAAAGCTTCAGTTTTAAACAATTAGTTTTTGTTTTAAATTATAATATGAGAGATAAATTGGATATAAAATTATAATAGTCATTGTTAAATATGTGCATAAATTTTTGAAAGATGTGCATGGCAGATGATTTTATCTCCTAGGTATCTTTTAAGTATGGTCGGCAATTATCTAATCTATAATTTAATTATATATTAAAATTACTCCCAAATACTAGATTCTTCAATTTCAAAAATACTTTGGGACATTTAGTTCATAAAATTTTTTATTTCGAAAGAAAATGTGATATCTCGAAAAGTGCAATACTAGAGATTTTATTTGATTTTTAAGGTATCTCGTATTTAGATTCATTCATTTAGTTATAAGGAATTTATGCATATTAATTTTGTATAATTATCATAATCTCCTTGACAAGCTTATAGCAACTTTTCTTTTCGTTTTATTAATAATAAATACCAAAATGACATGATAATTTTAATGGCAAAAAGAATACAAATATTTTAATTAACTGTTGTTTTAATTTATAAAGTATCATCAGTTAAGGCATTTGTTAACATGAATGCCTTAATTGAGAGGGTATATATTATTTAAAAAAAGATCAATTAAGGCGTTTGTTACTTTGAATGCCTTAATTGATACATTTCATAATGTTAATATATCATCAATTAAGGTGTTTGGTTAGGTGAATGTCTTAATTGATCTTTTTTTTCTTATAATTTATAAAATAGATCAATTAAGGGGTTTGTATTAAGAAACGCCTTAATTGATCATTTTAAAAGGTTCACTCCCCATTTTTGAACATTGAAAAACAAAATGGCTAATACAGTTGAACGATAAAAGTTAAACTGTTTATATATCCCTAAACCCATCAACCCATTCACTTGGCATTTTGGTTTCTTCATCTCCCTTATTTTTGCTGACTGTGAATCATTTAATGCCGTCGCACATAATTTTAAGCTAGTATGTGCGAATTTAACACTTTTTGTACAATGTTTATTCATCTATGTATGTCATTTTTTTCTTCCTTACTATATATATTTACTACATTGCATGCATGATATTTTCTTTGTTGTTTGGTTGGAGTATCGTGGTTTGTCAAATGATTTTATGGAAAATAGTTATATATTTTCTTATTTGTTTTGCATGAAACTCTTATGATATGATGAAACATAGTATGGCTTGTGCATTGTATAATATTATTAGTTTTGTTCTATGTAATGTATATTGGTGTATTTACTGTATTGGTTATTGATTTTTTTTTAGTGTGGGATATATAGAGAGACAATTTGGTGTATTTTATATAATTCTAATCAAAATCGCAGGTATTATGGCTTCCAAAGAACATGTCTCTTTCTACTGAACATGATGAAGACACACCCATCTTGGAAAAAAGAAAATCAATGGGAAGTGGTAAACAAATTAAAGCGAGTGGGACAAAAATTCACATGGACTTCAATCAAGATAGGTAGTCTGTGTTAAGTAGAGGTGCAAAGTTGGCTAGTCACATTGGAGCTGTTGTTCGACAAAATATATCTACTACTTACCCTTATTGGCAGATGGTTCCTAATGATAAGAAAGATAGTATATGTGATTCGATTGTGGTATGTTTATTCAACAATATCCAAAATTTTGTTAATTGTTAATGGAATTAAATTACTGTGTTGAGTTTATTTAATTTATTCATATTTTTAGGAAATGTTTAACATCCCAACTGAGTATAAAAAACTTGAGTTGCAATCAGTTAGGAAAGTATTCAAAGACTTTAAGAGTAAATTGACAACTCAATATATTTTACTATTCACATATAATTTTGAATTGTTGGCTGATTCTCTAACGACATATGCAAAGGATATCGATTATGAAGAATGGTTATAGTTTGTTCGAGATCGTCTATCAGATAAATTTTGGTATACATATCCAGTTTGTTAATTGTTTATAATATTTTGTTTAATAAATTTTTATGTTAATATGTGATTTATCTTTTTTATTTCAAAAAATCAAAGAACAACAAAAGAGCCCAACAATTATGTCACCATCAGACATCGAGAAAGGGTTATGTAAATGTCAAGCATGATCTTATAAATATTCAAACACTTGTTTTATACTTGCCTATGAATATTTATGAAATGTAAATGAAAATGTGAAACTTATAATGATTCATGATTTTAGGAATCATCTAGCTCTGGAATTGAAGTTTTTAGATGAGATGTTTGGAAAAAAGGATATATGGATAAAGAAGGATTGTTCACAAATGAAGTAATTGAAGAAATAGCTAAAAAGATTGTAAGTTGATTTTATTTATATATCACATATGATGAATGTGCTTTTATTTATGATTATATATTGTATTTGGTTATTTACACACTATTATTTTGTGTTTCAAGATGAATTTGGTATAAAATGAATACAAGGACCTACGAAATGGTTATGGTGATAATCTATTATCTTTAGCATTAAGATCCAAAGACAAACATGGTTGAGTTTGAAGGTTTGGTAAATTTGTGTTACCATCACAGTTCTTCAAGAATCAACCCAAACCTTACATAATGAAAAATAGAGAATATGAAGTAATCATTTAACAGCAATAGCAAAGACTTGATGAGCAAGAGCAATGCTTGAATGATCAGTAGCAATAACTCACAACTTTGGAGGTAATGTTGGTAGCAATGCAATCTAACATGCCTTGATAGTAGTCTATTACTGACATCTAGCAAGGAAATGAATTCACGAAACAAGTCTTGTAGCAAACTCAATCTTCGATAATTAACATTTTTAAAATTTGTTTATTGATTGAATATTTATTTGTATTTTTTTGAATTAGTTTTATGATTTATATTTTATATTCTTTTATAATAGGATATTCAGACTCAGACGATGACACCTGTATAGTTTGCCACGAATGTGTTATCTACTTATACGCTTAATCATTTATTAGGAGGAGACGTCATTGTTATTGAGAGAGAGTATGGATTATTTGATTATTCATCGATGTCTTACATTAGAGATTGAGGCATTTTGTACCATGGATGAGATATCTATTTTTGATATTGTTGCATATATAAAGTTAGCTTATCAATTAATTTAAATATATTCTACCAATATCGATTATCCTAT